CCTGAGAGGGACCCCGGTCATCTTTCTGCCTGTTTGATTCAGAGCAGGTGTCACAGGGGGGTTCAAGAGAAAGCAGTTTCAAAAGAAGTTAAACCTCCATTAAACCTCCAATTCAGCAATTGGAGGTTTATTCATCTCTGTTTATTAAAATCAGATTAAAGGTCAGGCTTAAAAGAAGGGCAAAGAAGGGCTCCACTCCCCGCGTTAAAAGTGGAGTGGCTGGGTCTTCCAACTCAGCCACTCTCCCTTTTTTTCTAGCAAAAAAAAAAAAAGTAAATCCCAGCAAAGTTTATTTCCTCTGGACCGTCAGGCAGAAATGATTTCAGGGGAAACAAAAGAACTCCACCTCAGCCTTTGTGTCTTATTTTGTCTCTGATCGCTGACATCCAGCTTGTGTAGATGACAGCATTTCTGCACAAAGACACGATGAAAACAGAACAACTGAAAAGCCTCTCTGTCAGAACAACAGCTGCTCACTATGGCAGCTCTTTGGGCTGCTGGCAGCGCGTCAGTCTTTGTGTTTATATGTGAAGTGACAGTAATAATGCTGGAGCAGCAGCAGGTCTGGGCCTTTTTCACAGCACACAGGAAAAATGTGAGGCAAATGGAAATGATGGAAAAAAGTAGATAAACTGATATAGATATAAATGAAGGCAGTTTGATTATTGTGGTAATAATCAGTAGATCATGCTACTTTAGCAGCAATAAGAAACTTTAAATACAGTTAAATGATATTCAGATAATGTTCTCCTACTTTTACTCTGAAACATTTTTAGATTCACACAAACTTGTCCACTCAACACTAGATCAGAGTGTTTCTGCTGGGGTCCGGTCCCGACTCGGTCCAGTTTGACCACTTCATCAGAGCAGTCAGCTGCTCTGGCTGCACACGTTTGAATGTAAACAGCCGGCCCTTTTCCTCCCTCACACAGTCGGACCTACAAGTGGCCGCCACAAATTAGCCTCAGCAGGAGATGCGTCCCCATGACAACGCGGCCGTCCATCCCTCCCTCCCTCCCTCGCCGCGTTAAAGGGGGAGTGGAGCCGAGGGTTTGAAAGCCTTTGTCTGGCTCCACTCCCCCTCCGTGGCGGATGAATGTGCATGAAGCAGTCAGTGTGCCGGAGGAGCAAACGCGCGATGAGCCGCAGCTTTGGGAAGTTTCTGTCGGATCTGGAAAGAAAGAAATCCTGCAGGGAAAGGAGAGGCTAAGATGCAAGGTGAGACCTAGATCAGATCTGAAGTGTTTGTGAGTGAACGGGCTTTAAATCTGCAGCTGTGATATTAAAATAGGATGAGTCTGTGTTTATGACACAAAGCAAGCTTCTTACGTTGTCTGAAAGTTGTAATTTGTAGTTTTATCTGGATTATAAAATGTGACCTTCACATGTCTGAAGAGCTCTACAACTTTCAGAATCACCTGTCAGGTGTCACCAAGCTGCAGGAGATTGTCCGAAACTAAAAACATCCTGAAGTTTGTGTTTGGAGCTAAAACTGGAATCAAAGCTGTAAAACTGAAAGTGTTTGCATTTTTCTGCACTCTGATGTTCCTGTTTCCTTTCTAGGATAATTGAACTTGAAAGCTTTTAGCTCTGTAGAGATGCATGGTCGTTTATAACAGCTGAGATGAAGCCAGTGAGTTTGTCTTTGTGATTATTATCTGGCCTGCAGGGCATGAAATTAATGAGATTGGATGTGGGATGAGCCGGCAGTTCGGTAAATGACAGGTTAATGAAGAGGAAGTGGCGTTCTCTTCTCTTTCTAATGAGATTACACATCTACTTAAAGCAGATTATTTTCCCTACACTATCAATCTGTGATGCTATATTGGGATATAATTACCTAATTGAAGTGTTTCATCTTTCTAAAGTATCGCTTTATACAGTTTTGGATCATTTGTAAAAAAAATAAAAGACATGTTTTTAATTCAGTCCAATATTAGTGAAAGAAAAATCAAATTCTTTGAATTCTGTCATCATCACATTTGAGTTCAGCCTTCAGGCAAAATTCTGGTTTCACCTGCAGCTGCAGGATCTGGATCTGTTTCATTTCTGGACAACAGAAATGAAACAGAAATGGTTTAGTGATGATTTTCTCTGGCAGGTTAGATGAGATCAAACATCAGATCCTCTGAGGCTCCAACTGGAAAATAGGAAAAATGATCAAATGCAAAAAAACAAGAACAGAAAAATGATTCAGTGTTTTAGACTGGAAAGAAATAGTCTCCATATATCCTTCCTTCCACTTTTCCATCCATCCATGTTTAACCATCAGCATCCATCCTCATATTCCTATCCGTTGTGTCCATCAGGTTGACATCCAGGTGTTATTGTTAATGATCAATCCCATGTATTGATCATAATATCACCATCTAGTGTTTCTGTCAAACTGACTGAGCTGCTGTGCTGCAGTAAATGCTGCTTCTCTGGTTTTAATCTGCACAGTGCGCCCCCTGCAGGTTTGAGTGTCGCTGCGTTAAGCAGTCCAATCCTTCTTCAAACAGACCCGTCTTTAAGTCCAACAGAGGCGGTTTGGTTTGAGTTTATCTGCACTTAAAGCCCAGCGCCTTTTGTTCCTCCTGCTGAGCTGGACTGATAATCCTCTGCGAATCCCTCCATCAGACCTCAGTCTCACAATCTGCAGCTTCTGGAATTTCATCACTCAGTTTGTGGTCAAAGCAGGAATGTAGAAACTTCCCTCATAATTTAAACCTTAACATGGGTAATAAAGTAACTTTTAAATTACTTTGTGATGTGCATCTAGTCTCATTAGAAACTTGAGGGTTACAATAACGTCAAAGCAGACTCTTCTGTTGGTAAACCTTGTTGCTTTATTCACAGCGTATTGAAGACGTTATTAGATTGAACCTGCATTAATTAACCTTTAATTGAACCAGATGGATTTTCAGTTTGGTGATAAGTTATTTAAATCTAGTCCCATGAGACAGCGTGAACTTTGTAAGTCTCAGACGGGGATGGAAAATGGCATTTTTTGAAATGTCATGAGATAATTAGATTTTTTTACATGCCAAACACTTCAGAGTGAATCCCGTTATCTGATCAGTGGATTATTGGGAGGCTTTGAATCGCTGCTGACCATCAGATACAGGAAACAGCTCTGCAGCTCTCATGCCGTCCTTTTGGGCTGAGTGATGGACAGCTAACCCTGAGTTCAGCTGCCCCCTATGTTGGCATTTCTTGCCCCAGCCCCCAGGAGCAGACGGCCACGCCCCCGTTTGTTCCTGTGAATGCACCGATCTCTGGAGGAGTCAGGCTGGAGCAGCAGCTATTGTTGGCATCCGTCAGTCAGCAGAGGACCAGAGGCTTCTCTCTGCTGGAGGCGCCTGATCGTTCTGTCGTTACTTATTACTACTTCCTGTTACTTCCTGTTAGTGCAAACTAACTAAATACCCACAAGGGAAGAACTGGTTAACGCCAGATTTTTATTGGAAGGATAGAAAACGAGTTTTAATTTAATCTGAAAAAGGTTCAAGACTGGAAGCATCCATCCATTCATCCATCCATCCATCCATCCATCCATCCATCCATCCATCCATCCATCCATCCATCCATCCACATCCATCCATCCATCCATCCATCCATCCATCCATCCATCCATCCATCCATCCATCCACACCCATCCATCCATCATCCATCCATCCATCCACATCCATCCACATCCATCCATCCATCCATCCATCCATCCATCCACATCCATCCATCCATCCATCCATCCATCCATCCATCATCTCTCAGTCCGCCCGCATATCAACATCCCAGAATATTACTTTTAATGGTCCAGCTGATATTGAGCTATGGTTAGCATAGAAATATCTGCCACAGATTATTATTTTAGAGCAAAAAGAGGTTTTTGGACCTGGATGTGGGACATGGAGTCTTGTTATGACCAGAGAAAGGATCTCTGAACTCCCTGAAGGAGAAGCAGAAACAGGAAACGGCGATGAATGAAAACAGATCCGGGAGTCAGAGGACGTCGTCCTGACCGCCCCCTTTGTACGGCTGCATCACTGTCCGTATGCTAATTATGCTAACGAAGCGCTCCCTGCAGCCAGTGGCATTAAATGCCTCCATTCAATCAGACAGGGAGGATCTGCTGGTGAGTTGGCCTCCCTTGGAGACGACCCAAAAATGGGCCATCAGCGGCAATCAGGGGAGACCTGCTGAATAAAGGGGGCATTACCAGTGGGAATGAAAGCTCCCACTTATGTGGAGCTGACCCCACCCACCCCGCTTATGCCCACCGAGGTTACTGGGTGACGAGCGTCGCTTCAGAGAAAGGCTTCCTCTGAATGATGCTCTGTCACTGGTAATGCTATGTGCTGGGGCCTCTGGCTGCTGATTGGTCTGAATGTTCATAAACTTGTTAAAGCTGCAGTTTGTAACTTTTATAAAAAAATTTTTTTTACATATTTGTTGAAACTGTCACAGTCATTGCGACAGTTTAGTATGAAACAGATAATCTGTGGAAACATCAAGCTCTTCTGTGTAACTAGAAACAACCAATCAGGGCCAGGAGCGGGGCTTAGCGCTGTCAATCAATGTCACATATTCGCTGCTAAATGTGGTAATGGCAGAGAAAACAACTTGCCATTACCCTTATAGCCTGAGCATTCACAATGACTCTGACTGACAATGCCAAGACCAAAGACCATCCCGCAGATTTAATGTTTGTTGTTTTCGTCTCTTTGTTTCCATTCATCACCTCCAGACGTGTTATTATCAGCCTCATAAAACCCCAGGATGCCCAGTGTTTGTGGCTGTGATACTGAATCACAGCAGACCTCCAAAATCAATCCTCACAGCCATGAAAACGACGTCTGACGCTGTGCTGGAAAGGTCAACCAGCAGCAATCATGGATCAGCCTCTGTGGTGCAGAGGAGCGTCTGCATTCACATCCTGTTGGATAAAAACAGACAGATCATAGGTTCCTGTTAACCTCTGGCGGTGGGGCGGGTTAATAATCTGATGCTTCCTTGTTCAGATGCCTGACCAGTTTGACCAGACGGTGGTTCTGAACCAGCTCAGGTACTCCGGCATGCTGGAAACGGTGAAGATCCGGCGCAGCGGCTTCCCGGTCCGCAGATCCTTCCAGGACTTCTGCTCCAGGTGTGAACCAGGTTTACACAAGTCCAAACACTCAGACACGCAGCGGAAACACTTAAACACACAATCAGTTTCTACTTCTCTAATTCAAAACGTGGTGCGGGGCTCATTTATGGCCCCGTTGATGATTTTGTGCGGCCCCTGAAGTTCTAGTCAGGCAAATGTAACCTGTAAGCTAACGATTGATGCAAATAGACTTAGTTTTTTTATTATGTTTTTTTTTACATTGACACATTTTACAGACATAAAATCTTCTTAAAAATACAACAAAAGTTTGATTCAACTCAAGTTTCTTATTGAAACTTAAGTTTCAATAAGAAACTCAACTGCATTTGTTGTAATTTTGTAATGTTATGAACTTCGCTTTTCTTCAGGTACAAAGTCCTGATGAGGGGCGTCCTGACTCCAGACGACCACCGGGGGCGCTGCAAGCAGCTGCTGCACCTCTATGACAGCAGCAGTGCAGATTGGCAGCTCGGCAAAACCAAAGTAAGGCCCAAACCTTTTGCTGTTGTCAGTTTCCTTCTCTCTTTGTTCCAAGGAAATGAGCTGAAACTGAAGTCAATCTGAGGGTTTTATTGTAATTTAGAAAAAAAGAATAAAACAGTTGAGTGGATTCAAACAGAGGAATATTTTTACCTGGTTGATTTTTCTTGGGCTTATTAAACACCAACTGAAGCCAGAAAATGTATTTTCTCAAAAAAAAAATCTGTGGATTTGCACTTCCTGCCTGTCAGTGGTGAGCTCCATCCCTTCTGCTCAGTCTGCAGAATAATCGACTCTCTGCTGTCAAGCGCTGAGTTCCTGAATGCTCCACCGCTCTTTTTGCCTCCAGCTAATACCGGTAGAAAGGTCTTCCGTCGCCAACACGGCGCCTGATTGGACAGAGACTCAGGCCGCCTCCGGAGAGATGCCAATCCAGTCTGGCTTTTCTCCCTCCAGGCTCAATTTGGCTTCATGTGTCCTACAAATTCAGCTCCATGGAGCCATTCAGAGCCGCTGCCTCTATGGCGTGTGTGGTGTGTGTGTGTGTGTGTGTGTGTGTGTGTGTGTGTGTGTGTGTGTGTGTGTGTGTGTGTGTGTGGGTGTGTGTGTGTGTGTGTGTGTGTGTGTGTGTGTGTGTGTGTGTGTGTGTGTGTGTGTGTGTGTGTGTGTGAGTAACCGAGGTCAGCATCACCTGAAGCGTGGGACGCCACAGTTATTGGATCCACTCTTCAGTCACTACTTCCACCACACCGGATCAGGAAGGATGGCGACTGCCAGAGTGTGTGTGTGTGTGTGTGTGTGGGTGTGTGTATGTGTGTGTGTGTGTGTGTGTGTGTGTGTGTGTGTGTGTGTGTGTGTGTGTGTGTGTGTGTGTGTGTGATTGCGGTGGGAAAGTGACAGATGGGGACACAGACCACTGACCACAGCAGGACCGTGTGACGCTGCAGGAGGGAGAAACCTGTGTGTGTCGATGTTGGCTTGGAACGCAAGGAAGAGATAAAAACATGAAAAAATACGGAATTTGATTTAGATATTATAAAAGTCTGAAAAGCTTTTCTTCCTTCCATGCATCAGAATTTTCATCCACATTTCCTTCCTAACATCCTTCCACTTTTCCTTCTGCTCTTCCTTCCAGACTTACTCTCACATCTACAACATATTCTCCAAATTTTAAGTTTGGAGAAATCTGGAACAGAAAAGCCCTGTAAGAATCTGCATGACTAATATTCCAGTGTAATATTAACTTCAACAGTCACTGATAAAAGCTAAGTAGAGGTTTACTCCTTTTCTGTTCAGCGTTCCTGCAGTAGAAACTCTGAGTTTCCAGCAGTTTGGTGGAACCGGTTTAGGACCAGAAACATTCATCAGTCTGTCCACTGGGGGCGCTGTGCTGTTCACTAGATACTTAACAAAGCTGTGGCGATCTGAGCCATCATGGTGCCAAACGTACAAACATATTCAACTTCTCTCTTTTTGCAGTTTGAATGTTTCCAGTGTGAAACCTGATCACCAGATCTTATCTGTGAGTCGCCTGACTGTTTCCTGCCTGCGCCGCCGTTAAATCCTGCTGCGTCCCTCTGAGGGATTCGTCCACTTTGTCCCTCAGACAGATTTACGGCCTGCAGCTCCTTTCAGTCGGCGCTGTTGCCTCTGAGCTCTGCTTTGTGCTTTTAGAGCCTGAAACTTAATTTTGTGGACAGGAAGCGGCGCCGCGTGGCTCCGTTCCCTCTGAGGACCCGACCCGACCCGGAGCAGCAAGAATTAAATGCAGCGAGGCTTAGTCCTTTTGTTGTGCTAATTAACAGTGTAACGATTAAAGAGGATTTGTTGTGCGACTCATCAGGATGCAAATGTGTGCACTTGTTCAGGGAGGCTGTGTGTTTTCATGCTGACCCGTGTTGTGTCAGGTCGGGTCTGATGCTTCCTGCTGGATTTTTGTTCTGCCTGACGTCCCTCCCTGACATTCAGCTCCACAGACAAAAGCTGCTGCTGTCTCTGTTGTCCTGTGATTGGCTGAGGTTCAGTTCAAAAAGCAGGTTTTCACTCTGCTCTGACATTAACCGTGTTTCCATCAACGTTTTTATTCATGAGCATTTTAAAGTAGAAACAGTGTGGAAACAGAAAATTTACTGGAATAACAAAAATAAACCTGCTTAATGGAAATGCATCAATTTTGAATAAACTCACAATTTCTGATAAAAATAAAACTTTCCTCTAGGAGGAAGTGGTTGAAATGGTTGTATTTTGCAAAAAACAGTGATGGAAATACATGTTTTGCATAACAAGTAGTTTTTTCAACTTTTGCAGAATATCAACAAAGTTTTAATGGAAAAGCATCTAAAAATGTCCTCTTTTTAACAAAAAGGTCTGTTTTGACTTGTCCAAAAGAAACTTAATGCACTAAAAAGGGAGATGGAAACAATTATTGAATAAGTTTTGATGACTTTCTCATCTAGGAGGATAAATCTTTTCCTGAGATGATTTGCTCCTTCACGCTCGTTTCCAACCTCTACTTCCTGTTTATGACAGCCAAACGCAGCATCAATATGAAATCATGCCCCCGTGTCCCAGTTGATTCACTTCTGTCTTGTGTTTTTATTGCATTTTAAAAGTTTGCTCAAAATTTGCATCAGTTGGATCACGTCTCCTCTGGTTTCCTCATGTTCATGCAGCTAATGCAGGAGTTAATTAACCTGCATGCAAGGCGAGGTTACGTCTCCTCATAAAATCTCTTTAGTGCCTCAGTGCTCAGGATTCAGCAATGTCTCACACACACGCACACACCCACACACACGCATACACACACACACACACGCACACACACACTCACACACACACGCACACACACACACACACACACTGAGCTCCTCATTCAACAGGAGAAATCTGTTCCTGAACCTCCCAGTCCTGTGATATTTCCCTGCCGTATCGGCCGCCAGAGCTCATGTCCCGTATCTCATTTTCCTCCTCCCTAATCGGATTAACCCGGCCGGCCCAGTGGGCCCGGTTCCTCTATCGGTGGGCGACGGCTTGGCTTATAAAACGGCCAGCTGCTCGATAGATTCGGCCTTTTCACACGGAGCCGAGGCAGGAACGCCTCGCCGCTGTAATCTTACGAGGTTTGATTAAACGCCGAACGTTTGTTCAGATCTTGAGTTTCTTAATTCTGCTGGATTTTAAATCTTTTATTCAGGGTGAGTCGCAGCTAGTGGATGTCTGCACTGGGTTAAAACAGAAATAAGACATAAAAAGCAAAACTGTGAATAAAATCAATCATGTCTCTGTAAAAAAAAAATAGCTTTTCTAAAATGATTAATCAGAATGGAAATTATCAAGCAAATTTAAATTTATTATGTGATTGATCATTTTTTATTTTGACAGTCTTTGGTATATGTATGAATAATTATTAACCTGCCTGGATTTCAGGTCAAATGGACATAAACATATAATCCCAACTGAAATGTGTTTATTGAGATGTTTGTATAAATGAGGCTGTTTTTCCTTCAGTTTTTAAGAAGTTCTTGGATCATTTGGATAATTATTGTACATTTTTTGCCATTAAATGTGAAGATGAAGAGAGTAAAACTGTGTCTTTCTGTCTTCTCAGGTTTTCCTTCGAGAGTCTCTGGAGCAGCGGCTGGAGAAGCAGAGGGAGGTGGAGGTTCTGAAAGCAGCCATGATCATCCAGGCCCACATCCTGGGCTACATGGCCCGGTACGCTCGCTGCACGTTTACTCATGAACTCGAGGTTTCTATCCACATTAAATGATCGTTTCATGCGGCTTCGCCCCAGGAAGCAGTACAGGAGGCTGCTGCAGTGCATTGTGGTCATTCAGAAGAACTACCGGGCTTTCTACTGGAGGAGGAAGTTCCTGCTGCTCCGCTGGGCCGCGCTCACCTTCCAGAAGCGCCTGCGGGGCCAGCTGGCCCGCCGGGCCGTCGGCCGCCTGCTGGACGAGAGGAGGAAGAGGGAGGAGGAGGAGGAGCGCCGCAGAAAGATGGAGGAAGAGATGGAGAGGTGACATTCGTCCTCGTTGGTCCTCCAACCCGCCTGCTGATAGCCGCTGACGTTTGGCTGTTTCTGTTTGTGCAGAGAGAGACTGAGACTGGAGGCGGAGCGACGCGCCAAAGAGGTGCCAGAAATATCATCATACTTTGATTTCAAAGGTTAACAATGGGAGCAGCAAAGACACTGGTGGTGTTTAGTCAAGTTAAATGCAGTCTATTTAATTATTGACAATTATAATCATCAACATATCCACAAAATGAGCTTCGTGCGTCAGATGTATCGGCGTACGAGAAACACATGAATACAAAGGTTCCGGTTATGAAAAAAATACTAATAATTTACTAAAACATTCACCCCATTAAAATCTATGTAGTTATTTAATGAAAAAGAAATGTGTAAAAGTCCCAGACCTAAAAGATGCAAAAGCAAAAACATTTCTTAGAGGAGTTGAAATATTTTTAGTATTTCAACTCCTTTTAGTATTTCAGGGGTGTTTTGAATAATTATTTTAAAATCTTTTATAGAAAACTTTTAAAATCATCACTTCTACTGGTTCCAAATTGTCCTCAGAGTTTAAGAAGCTGTCAAAGATGAAATGTTACAGAAACCATCTAAGTTCCATGGTGCAGAATGTGTTTCCATCAGAGAGTTTCATGGTTTTCCTCTGTTTCTAGGCTGAGGAGGCTCTGCGGCTGGCGGAGCTGCAGCGCGCCGAGGAGCTGCAGCGCGCCGAGGAGCTGCAGCGCGCCGAGGAGCTGGCCTCTCTGGTTTTTACTCAGTCTCAGCTGGAGGAAGCAGCTGCAGCTCTACCTGAAACTCCAGAGGAGCTGCAGTCGGTCTTGCAGGAGGCCGCCGAGGAGGAGGAGGCCATCCGCCCCCAGGAGGCGTCCCAGGTGGAGGAGATCCTCCGGCTGGAGCGAGAGATCCAGGCGCTGCAGAGGCAGAAGGAGCAGCAGGAGCTGTCCCTGACGGAGGCGTCGCTCCACCGCCTGCAGCGCCTCCGGGATCAGGAGCTGCAGCGGCTGGAGGACGAGGCCTGCAAGGCGGCGCAGCAGTTCCTGGACTCGCTCAACTTCGACGAGATCGATGAGTGTGTGAGGAACATTGAGAGCTCGCTGGGCGTCGGGGAGGAAGAGGAGAAAGAGAATGGAGGGAGCAGAGGCGCCGACGAAGAGGAGGTCGATGAAGGGTTCGGAGCCGACGACGAGGCTTTCAAAGACTCTCCCAACCAAGCGAGCACGGCCACTCCGACGGCCAGCGGACCAGTGGGATCCGGACGAGCGACGATTCCTCTGAAGAAGACCCGTACGCCAACGATGTTCCGATCCCCGCGATGCCCCTCACCACCCTGCTCCACCAGCCGCTGCCTCCGTTACCGCCGGCCACCCACAGCGTCTCGTCCAGCGGCGACTCCGCTTTCTGCCACCCGCAGGCGTCGTCAGAGGCGCCGTCCGACGACCTGGTGGAGCTGATTCCTCCAGACGAGGACTCGGACGACCAGGACGACTATGACGAGGGCGCCATCGTGTCCAGCGGCAGCGTGGCGTTCTCCAACCCGCGCAGCGGGCAGTGGTCTCCGGATTAGGGGCTCCGTGGGAACGTACAACAGCTCAGGGGCTTACCGCTTCAGCTCCGAAGGCGCTCAGTCATCGGTGAGTCTCCTGAATGGTCAGACTGACAGACGTTGTCAAAACCCCACATCATCAGCCCTCCACCATGCATAGCAGCTGGTCACAGTTGTGAAACGTACAATGATTAAACATCTTCCAAATCAGACCACATTGTTCTGGATGTCTTGTGCTTCATTCAAGTGCAGCTTTATGACCTAACGTTTGCCCCTGAGCAAGGCACTTAACTTCAACCGGGTTAAAACTCTCATTCAATTCCATGGAGCTTCAGTAGAAACTGCTGAATCATTTGCTTTGACTTTCATTGCAGTTTGAGGACAGTGAAGACGACTTTGACCGGTTTGACACAGACGATGAGTTGTCGTATCGCCGGGACTCGGTCTACAGCTGCGTCACTCTGCCGTACTTCCACAGCTTCCTCTTCATCAAAGGTAGCTCCTTCAATTCACTCTGAACCCTTGGGAGCCGTTCTCCTCGCTGTAGCAGGAACTGCAGTGCTGCCGTCTCGTCTTCAGGAGGCCTGATGAACACGTGGAAGCGGCGCTGGTGCGTTCTGAAGGACGAGACCTTCCTGTGGTTCCGGGCCAAGCAGGAAGCTCTGAAGCAGGGCTGGCTGCACAAGAAGGGAGGCGGCTCCTCCACGCTGTCCCGCCGCAACTGGAAGCGTCGCTGGTTCGTGCTGCGCCAGAGCCGGCTCATGTACTTTGAGAACGACAGCGAGGAGAAGATGAAGGGAGTGCTAGACATGCACAATGCCAAGTAAGGTCAAAGGCAATTCAGTAAACATGATCAAATCCTGGTTATGCTTCTAAAAATTGTTTTTAATTTCTGCAGAGAAATCGTTGATAACACGGGGAAGGAGAACGGCATCGACATCGTGATGCCAGAGAGGACATACCACCTGATCGCAGAGTCTGCTGAGGACGCCAGGTGTGTCTTCACACACTGAATCAGTCCACTGTGGAAAAATCCATCCACTCAGTTTTTCAGGCATATCATTTGAATGACTCAGTTGAAACAAGTGTCCCACATCTCCACCCCTCCACTGCCGTGCTCTGCAGTTGGAATCAGGTGTTTTTGCTAATATGCTGCAAACATGGCCTCTGCAGCTGGAAGAGTTGTTGGTGCTGTGACCTATTGATGATTGTGTTTCCATGCTTACAGTCAGTGGTTCAGCGTGCTGAGTCAGGTCCACGGCTCCACAGAACAGGAGATCAGCGAGTGCACGACGAGCAGGCCAATCCCAGAACGCTGTGGTGAGTCGGGCAGAATATCTGCCTCCTCCGGGAGGAAAACAAATAATCAACGCCTCACCTGTCTTTCTTCAGGGAACGCTGGATGTGGGCATGATCGACTCGGTTTGTGCTTCAGATAATCCAGAAAGGTGTGGCATCGACTTGTTTGTATTACTCCCAGATCTGGCTGTTTTCTGACTCTAAGCTTCTGCTGTTAAAATTAGACCAAACTCCTTTGTCATCATCACTGCGGAGCGAGTTCTGCACTGCAACGCCGACACGCCCGAGGAGATGCACCACTGGATCACTCTGCTACAGCGCTCCAAGGGAGACGCGCGCGTCGACGGGCAGGAGTTCATTATCAGAGGTACGGGACGGAGATGAGCAGCACAGTCTGCTACTGGAGCAGAACCTGTTCATTAAGGTCTGGAGATTCTAAGTGGATTTATACGGTTAATATTTTAAGACTTTATTCTCTAACCTTTAGCCTGATGCTGGTTTTTAAAGTTTACTGTTGTTATATCCAAAGTAACACAAGCAGAAAGTTCACATAACACATGAAAATAAGCAGAAATCAATCAAACCGAATTTAGTCAGTAAAATGATATTTGAGCTCAATGTCTGTGAGCAAAACTAACTGAAGGGTTAAAAAGCTGCTGCAGTACGGAGCTAAATCCAGACCAAAGTTTGTTCAAAAAATCATTTAAACTGAAAGAAATATTTCAAACTGAAGACAATTTTAACAGAAAATAAAGATTTGAAAACTGATAGAAAAATATCTAAAACTGAAAAAATGTTTTGCAAGAGAAATAAAGGTGTGAAAAGTGAAGCAGGTAACAGTGAAGGAGATGAAATGCTGTTTTTCCTCCAGGCTGGTTGCACAAAGAGATGAAGACAGCACCAAGGCCTCGCTGAAGCTGAAGAAGCGCTGGTTCCTGCTCACCCACAATTCCCTGGACTACTATAAGAGCTCTGAGCGGAACGCCTTGAAACTGGGAACGCTGGTTCTGAACAGCCTCTGCTCCGTGGTGCAGCCCGATGAGAAGCTCTACAAGGAGACCGGTGGGTTAAAGCGTCTCACTGACGGGTTTATGTCCCGGTTCCCGTTGTTTAACACGACTCTCATGAACCGGCTGCTGCGCGGCAGGATACTGGAACGTGATCGTCTACGGCGGAAACACTCGTACCGGCTCTACTGTAAGCTGCTGAACGAAGCCACGCGTTGGGCCAGCTCCATCCAGAACGTCATCGACACCAAAGCTCCCATCGACACGCCGACCCAGCAGCTCATCCAGGACATCAGGGTAGGAGAAAAACTCCTCCATGTCTGGGGTTAACAAGGTTTAACAGCCTCACCGTCACGTCAGGGAACATCGACTGTCAGGATGTTTCCCTGCTCTCACTTTTATTCACTATTCAGTAATTATTACATTCATCTGTCATAAATGCTGCCTCATACCTTCTGTTTTAATCGCCATCAGCTCTTAGGTTTTTCCTTCTGTCTGTTTCATGACAGACTTTTGCATTTTACACTTTGCTTTTGTTTTTTTTGTTTTTTCTTCCCTGTAGATTTGCACTTTGCTCTGTGTGACTGAAGCTGGGTTTAATGAATGAATGAATATTCTTTATTAATCCCAGAGACAAATTCATGTGTGGTTAAAGAAACATTTTAAAACAGCTGGCAGCATTCAGCTTCCCTTAAATGTACTTTCCTAAAGCGATAATTTGCTTGGCTCTTTTAGTAAATTTCCGCTTTTTGTAAAAGTTTGACATTTGAGTCGAAGTTTTGTTAAAGTACTTTCAAGTCGTGAGCCGTTTACATTAACGCTCTTATTTTGACTGTTACAGCAGCATTTCCGTTTCCTTTGAAACATTCAGAAACAAAACAAAGTAGAGACCAAATAAACATAAATAAAATATTTTGAAGCAATACGCAGTTGTAGCACCTGATGGATAGCCACATGTTTTAAGTTAGCGCTTTAGCATTAGCTGAACTAATTATGATTTGTGCTTTAGGGTTAGCGTAGCTAACGTTTCAGTTAGCGAGGCAGAGTAAAGGTTCTGACCAGAGCTGCAGGTGAAGTCCAGCTGTGGTTCTGTCTACAGGAGAACTGTCTGAACTCAGAGGTGGTGGAGCAGATCTACAAGAGGAACCCCATCCTGCGCTACAGCCACCACCCGCTGCATTCCCCGCTGCTGCCGCTGCCGTACGGAGACATCCAGCTGAGCGGTGAGACACAAACCCGGCCGTCAGAGCGGCAACGGTTTTAGATCCGATAAGAAAAAACAACTTGATCTACCTGTTTCACTGGAGAGTGAATTTCATCTTCCTGTTCCTCCGTCACCCAGCGTCACAGAGTCGGAGCTACACCCTGCAGGCCGAAGCCCTCCGGGTGTTCGGCTCCCTGCAGCACCTGGACGGCGTGGCCGACCCGGTCGCCATCATCCAGGGCATCCTGCAGACGGGCCAGGAGCTCAAGCCGCTGCGCGACGAGCTCTACTGCCAGCTGATCAAGCAGACGGCCCGGCCGCCGCAGCCCGGCGGCACGGCCAACCTCTGCAGCTGGAAGATCCTGGCCTGCATGTGCTGCACCTTCATCCCCTCACGGAGCATCCTCAGATACCTGAAGTTCCACCTGAAGAGGTGAGCACAGCAACGCCTTATGATTTCACAAATTCCACTTTTTCAATTTTAACATATTTATTAACATTTATGGTGGAAATCAGAAAACTTTAAGAAATCTATGACTAGCGGCTGATACTATCACTATTAAACAGACTGCTGTGTTTTAACAGACTTTTGGTTTTACCAGGTGTTAACGTCTTTCCCTTCATTTGGAAAATTAAATATCTCATTTTTAAGATGTAAGAAAATTATTTTTTAAATAAAGCTCAACACCAAAGTATTGATAGTATTGATCCCACAGAAAAGAGACGGTGAGCTGTGATGTCATAATTCCACACCTCGTCATCTGAGGCCCCGCCCCCACAAAAAACCTTTGATATGAAAATTTGTTTTAACAATTTTTCAGTTTCAATTTTTTTTTTCTTTTGAAACCTTATGGTCCTGATTTTACAATTTAGGAGACAGGCTGAGCCTACTGATTTGTGTGATGATGCAGTTCAGCCAGAAATGTCTCATTTCAGACACCAAAAAGAAAAAGCCGGATGGAAACATCCAGTTTATCTCGGGCTGTTTATGGAAGCCTTATTTGAGTTTTTCTACTCAAGTAGAAAAACATTCAAAATGTTTGACAAGTCTCTTAAATTCTGCATTGTCAGGGTTTGTTTTGTTAGTTTACATCTGACCTGTAACCTGGATGTGACCTCTCTGCAGGACCAGAGAGCTCTTCCCCGCCTCAGAGATGGACCGCTACGCCGCCTTCGCCTTCGACTCCTTGAAGAAGACTCGGGCCAGGGAGAACGTGCCGTCGCAGGAGGAAATCCGCTCCATCGTGGCCCGGCAGGAGATGAGCACCACAGTGCACTGCCATGGCGGAGGCTCCTGCAAGATCACCATCAACTCACACACCACTGCAGGGGAGGTGGGTTCCTCCCCGCACAGCAACATCCAAAACCCACTCACCATCACAAATCCACTGAGATCTCAGTTTGGTCATAGAGTTTTGTTCTGATTGGTTCAGTTTTCATTTGAAAAGAAGAAAGTTTTAGTTCCAAGTAATTGGTCAGGAAAGGCTGTCAGGATTCAACTTCGGATGTTTTTCCTCCTGATGGTCCAGGAAACTCGGATCAATTAGGGACCAGAATTGATACATTTGTTCCATCTGTGGTTCACTTTATCTGCTCTGAGTCAAACCAACCTGTTCCCCTCCTGGCCTGTGGGGGCGCTGCACCAAGAACCACAGAAGGAAACGACACAAACCTCTGAAGAGCAACTTCCTTCTTCACCAAATGGAAACTAAATTGGAGGATTTCTCTTTTGTCTGTGGTTATAAACCATAAGTTCCAGAAGTTAATCAGAAAAGTGTTCTTATTTTGATGTTCATCCCATCCTGTCTGTCTGTCCGTCTGTCAGGTGGTGGAGAAGCTGATCCGCGGTCTGGCCATGGAGGACAGCAGGAACATGTTCGCTCTGTTCGAACACAACGATGCCTCAGAGAAAGCCATCGAGAGCCGGACCGTGGTGGCCGACGTTCTCGCCAAGTTTGAAAAGTAAGACCCTCTGTGTGAGTTTCAGTCTGACCCAAAAGTTTTCCACTTCTGTGGGTCCAGTTAATATTCTTAATCGTTGCTCCGCAGACTTTCAGCGAGCGCAGAAGAAAGCAACACGGGCTGGAAGCTGTACTTCAAACTGTACTGCTTCCTGGACACGGACGGCGTTCCCAAGGACAGCGTGGAGTTTGCCTTCATGTTCGAACAGGTGAAAACCTCCGACCCGGATCAGGAAGGTCCATTTGCTGTAACACATCTGCCATGTTTCACAAAAACTGCCAGTCAAACGAATCACCGGTTTTGATTCTGATTGGATGTAGCGATGATTGAAGTGAGTCATCTGGTTTCAGGCCCATGAGGCGGTCATCCAGGGCCACTATCCGGCCCCGGAGGAGACGCTCCAGTTCCTGGCCGCCCTCAGGCTCCAGTACCTGCTGGGCGACCAGAACCCCCAGATCACCGTGCCCGAGATGAGCCAGGTGTTCCCCATGGCCCGACTGCGGACCCGGGTCCAGAACTCGGCCAAGACGTTTTCCGGCTCCGGCTCTGTGGCGGAGCGCTCCGGGACGGCGGAGCGGAAACGCTCCAGCTTCCTGGAGGGAACGCTGCGGCGGAGCTTCAGGAGCGGCTCGCTGAGCCGGCAGAGGCTGGAGGAGGAGAACAGCCTGGAGGCCTGGCTGAGGGAGGAGGCGGCCGCCGTCCGGACCAGCGTCCTGGACAAGTGGAGGAAGCTGCAGGGCATGAGCCAGGAGCAGGCCATGGTCAAGTACATGGCGCTGGTGAAGGAGTGGCAGGGCTACGGATCCACGCTCTTCAACGTGGAGGTGAGCTAAAGCCGAGCTAAAGATGAGCTAGCGCCGAGCTAAAGATGAGCTAACGCCGAGCTAAAGATGAGCTAACGCCGAGCTAAAGATGAGCTAAAGCCGAGCTAAAGATGAGCTAACGCCAAGCTAAAGATGAGCTAAAGCCGAGCTAAAGATGAGCTAACGCTGAGCTAAAGATGAGCTAGCGCCGAGCTAAAGATGAGCTAACGCCGAGCTAAAGATGAGCTAACGCCGAGCTAAAGATGAGCTAAAGCCGAGCTAAAGATGAGCTAACGCCAAGCTAAAGATGAGCTAAAGCCGAGCTAAAGATGAGCTAACGCTGAGCTAAAGATGAGCTAAAGCCGAGCTAAAGATGAGCTAACGCCGAGCTAAAGATGAGCTAAAGCCGAGCTAAAGATGAGCTAACGCCGAGCTAAAGATGAGCTAAAGCCGAGCTAACACAGAGCTAAAGATGAGCTAACGCCGAGCTAAAGATGAGCTAACGCCGAGCTAAAGATGAGCTAACGCCGAGCTAAAGATGAGCTAAAGCCGAGCTAAAGATGAGCTAACGCCAAGCTAAAGATGACCTAAAGCCAAGCTAAAAATGAGCTAACGCCGAGCTAAAGATGAGCTAAAGCCGAGCTAACACAGAGCTAAAGATGAGCTAACGCCGAGCTAAAGATGAGCTAAAGCCGAGCTAAAGATGAGCTAAAGCCGAGCTAAAGATGAGCTAACGCCAAGCTAAAGATGACCTAAAGCCGAGCTAAAAATGAGCTAACGCCGAGCTAAAGATGAGCTAAAGCCGAGCTAACACAGAGCTAAAGATGAGCTAAAGCCGAGCTAAAGATGAGCGAAAGATGAGCTAAAGCCGAGCTGAAGATGAGCTAAAGCCGAGCTGAAGTTGCTGGTCCAAACGCTTCTCACACAAAATCAACACGTTGAAATTATCTTTTTCTCTCCATTAAAAATGCAAAAACAATATGACTGGAAATTTTTTCCTCAAACCAACATTAGTTTGAAATTTGCCTTAATGTTGACCTTTATTTCACTTCTCAGGCCAGTCGTCCTCGTCTTGTTGGTCTCTGAGCTGTTGTGGGTTTTCTTTTAAAAAATGTCATTGGATATTTTGACTTCATGCTCTGATCTTCTGAGGAAAGAAAAATTCTTTCTGTTGAACATTTCAGATTTAAACTGGCCTGGAAATCTCACATTAAAATAATTTTTAAAAGTGTCTCATCTGCAGCGCAGAGACAAATCACTCCAAGGGCCACAAATGGCCCCCGGGCCGCACTTTGGACACCACTGCTCTAGTCTGAGCTTTTTGTTGACACGGCAGAAACAATAGAATAGAAAAACTTTATTGATCCCAGAGAGGAAAATTGCTGAGTTGTTGAACAGATAATCCATCCAAAGTGTTAAATACTGAAAATATAAACATAAGCAACTTATATTATATATAACTTTTATCTGAAGCAGTTTCTAGGTAATTTAAATATGATTTGCATCTTCAATGAATAAAACAATAAAAAGCATATAAAGCATAATCTGTAAATAAATCTATAAATAAGTCCAGAGTAAAATTAAACTTAAAAAAGCAGAAACGTTCTTTATTAAATAATTTACCTTAACAAAGTAACTGTAACGGTCTCGCTATGGTGTCCTGAACCAAGCTCAGCCAAACTCCTTTCACGCGAGTCAGGATTAAACGGCTCTTCCTTTATTAACGTAGAATGGAGTGAAACTGCCACAACAGGAACCACATAAATTCAATGAATACCTTGCTTTGTTACACACACATTAACATAAACGCTCATTTTTAAATAACATACAGGCATTGCGTCGAAGAACTCGATCTGAACACGACATTCACAATGTATCCATCCGCTCTGCCGTTAACAAACTGACTGACGTAAACGTAAAACATTTCCCTGAAAGTCCAGCAGGTGGCAGCAATGTGCCATGCAAAATTAACACTCACAGATTACATGACAGTAATACTACTGATAATGGAAAAAAATATAATATTAGTAAAGATAAATTAACTCTGTCATCTTAGTTTTAGTTCATTTTTCTGTTAGTTTAACTCTGAGCTTCATTCATAAAGTGATTATTATAAAGATGAATCATCAGTAGTGGAGATGGATCACACCGTCCTGCCAGAGCAGCTGTGACCCCGTGTGACCTCTGTGCTTCCAGAGCCGTGACGGAGCGTTCCCGGCGGAGCTGTGGCTCGGCGTGAGCCGGAGTCCATCTCCGTGTACAAACGCGGCGAGCTGTGGCCCCTGGAGGTCTTCCCCTACGAACTCATCCTGTCCTTCGGCGCGCCGCTGCCCAACGCCTACAAGATCGCCGTGGAGGGCCGGGAGCTGCTGTTCGAGACCCAGATGGTCGGTGCCGATGAACTCCACCTGCCGCCTCCTGCCCAAAGCTTTCTGTGGCTCACGGCTCTCTGTCGCCCCCTGCAGGTCATGGACATCGCCAAGCTCATGAAGGCGTACATCAGCATGATCGTGAAGAAGCGCTACAGCAACAGTCAGTCGGTCGGCAGCCATGAGAGCAAATGCAGCGCCTGGTGAAGCCGGACGGAGCCTCAGGGGCCCACAGGGCTGGAACCGAACCCACAACAGAACCCAGAACAGAACCCGAGTCAAGACGGCCCCGCTCCTTCCTCAGATTATATGAAATAGGTGTCAAATGTTTGTGCTGCAATTTATTTTTTGTGCCGTTATGATTTTTAAGAAAAAAATAGTTTCCAGAGATAAAGTTTCCGTCTTTATCCCAACATTAAACTAAACAAAATGGATGGAAGTTAATTGTGCTGCATTTGTGCAGGAATGTTTTTGTTTTTGCCATTTTAATTTGTAAGATTTAAAAAAAAAAAAAAAGTTTCCAGATGTCAACAGAAATCAGCTTTCTGACCTCTGACCCCACGCATGAACAAAACGGATAGAAATTAATCGTGCAGAAAAAATTTTTGTTTCAACTTTTAAGATGATTTTTTTAGGTTTTTAGAGGTCACCAGAGTCAACCTGCCCTTTAACAAAATCAAACAAATTGCTATAAATTAATTGATGCTTCATTTGTGCTGAATTTTGCATCAAAATGTTTGTTTGCACTGTAATAGTTTTTCAGACTTTGAAGAGTTTCCAGAGGTCACCAGAGGTCACCAGACATCGTTTAATTATTGCTGCAGAAACGTTTGACACCAGTTTCATTTCATTCAGAAGAGGCGGGTCCTGGTCCGGTCCTGGTCCGGTCCGGTCCGGTCCGGGTCCACTCTGGTACCGACCGGCCTGCAGGGCTCTGAAAGTTTCTCCACTGGGTCCAAGTCGGGCTGCGAGTCTCCATGGAAACCTGAGCTCAGACCAAAGCATCACAAAAACAGAGTTTTTCTACCTGGAAGTGCTTTTATCAACAATCAGTCTGGAGTAAAATTCATCAGAAAAACTGAACGTTTTCCCTCCGGACCGCCTGAAATGATGCTTTTCTTGAAGCGGATCGTGGTTCGGTCCGATTCCAGCGACATTCCCACGCAGAGGAGGAGGAAGAGGAGGAGGAAGAGGAGGAGGAAGAGAAGGATGAAAGAGGAGGAGGAGGAAGAGGAGGAGGAGGAGGAAGAGGAGGAGGAGGAGGAGGAAGACTCTCTGAGAGAAACTAAATATTATCCAAAAGAAAAAAGGATGAAACCAAAGAAACCAGTTCTCACTGAGTGTCTGCTGACTTTTAGCCGCTCTTCAAAATGGGAAAGACAAGAAGACAGGGCAGGAGACGTTACCGTGACGACGCGTGAAGCTGTCGTCTTTAGAGAAGAGACTGAATGTATTTTCCTTCCCGGCCCAAACAAACAACCAGCCCTCAATCAGACAATGAAGAAATCACAAGTGCCTGTTTCCATCCGGATCAACTCCGATCGGGTCCGAGGTTCTGCTGAGAATAAAAACGGTGCTCCGATGTTTCTGAACCGATGTTTCTGAACCGGTGTTTCTGAACCGGTGTTTCTGAACCGGTGTTTCTGAACCGGTCCTGCTGCACCAGCCGCTCCGGCCCAGAAACAGCAGAACAATCAGGTCCCAAATATGAAAGCTTCCTGATGAGCTGAGGCAATCTGCTGTTTGACCACAGAAAATCAAAAAGTTACATTTTTAGGACTTTTGAGATTTCTGAAAGGTTCTGAAATCAGTGGTAAAACTCGTGAACATTGTGGTTTTAAAGTGACAGTGATGTAACTGTTGCAGTTCTTGCTTCAGCTCGACCGAGCCGCTCCACCGGACCCGGTTCGGCAGCAACATTCCCACGTTTCCCTGGAGCTCCGCGGGCGGCAGATCCACCCACAGACCTGCAGGTTCTGCCACTGTCCAGTGCCTTTTGTAAATGCTGTACACTTCCTGTTTCACATGCAGATTGGTTTTTGGTAGAATGTGTAATGTAATATATATATATTATATGTGATATAATCATGTGGACTGTACATTTCAGGTTTTTGCCTTCTGATTTATTATCCAGCTTTTTTCTCTTGTATCTTTTTTGTATCTTGAAATTATCATCATGTTAGAATATGAATTAGAATTATGTTTTGATTTACAATAAATAAATAAAAATATTTAGTCAAATGTTTTATTACAATCTGAAAAACAGACATTTTTTAAACTTTCAGTTAGTTTTACAGTTTTGCTGATCCATTGAAAAGCTTTCAGAATCAGCTTTTCTATCACTTTAAATCCAGGTTCAAACTCTTGGCCAGGAAAAGTGAAGCAGCTTCATCAAACTTTTGAACATCAACAACAACCAGCAGAGTCTGCAGCTTCGTTTCGATCGGACCTTCATGTTTTCCATCTCAGACGGTTTGAAGAAAGTAAGTCACGTTTCTGTGTACAAACATTCTTTATACTTTACATCCAGGTTACATACAAACGAAATGAATACAGTCACATTCAAGTCGTATCTGTGCTGCACAATGAGACGTTAATATTCAGCCTCTTAAGGCACCAAAAGAACCAAAACGACCCAGCGACCCCAAACGTCTCATTTATCCCAACACGTTCATGTCAAATGCATCCCAGCCAACGCAGGGAAACGGACATAAATGAAATTCAACTCCATTCTGACGTCAGTTTGTGCTTTTAGCTTCTGGATCTCAGTTTTCTATAATCAGTTTGGCATTTTCTGCAGATCCGGTTGGATCCAGTTCCGTCTGCAGGTGTCGTCCAGCCTGTGTCCAGAGGCCACCTGCTGTGTGGCTCCCAGCGTTGGGCGGGAATGAGATTTACTTTTGCTTCCCGCATATTTCGTCTGAGATTTACGAAAAACAGCTAAACTGAAAAAGCGTCTAAGATCTGGTGGTTCTCTGCCTCCACACGGAAACGACGAAGATGGATTCAGATTTTGTTTTGGGTGTTCAGATGGATGATGACAGATTCAGTCTTTAGATTTTCTCTGTCAGGACATAATAAAACGAATCGATTCTTCATCAGGCTGTAAAATGATATAATCCTCTAGCACACAGATTAACTCACAGATTAAATGGGAGTTTTATCATCTTTAATCTCTGGATCTCACAGGCTGAGTGTTAAGAATTATGAGGTTGTTTCCTAAATGTTCCACCAGAATACAGAGGGGAAGATTAATATTAATAAATCATTTAAGGAAGCTGCTAATCATCCCAGAGTCAGAATATTCACAGAAAGATCGGCGTCGATGCAGTGGCCTAGTCAAAGACCAAACACCAAATTGTGCCTTTACAAAGCAGAGCAGAAGAAACATTTTATTACATCCTGACAGGTGAAACCCAAGAACCAAAACAGGAAGTTGTTTCCTCAGAGAAGAAGAAATTAGTTTGTGACGTCATTCTGCGTCAGAGAGTTTGAAACAGCCAACAAATTCCCGACAAAACGACTTGGCACGAAACTTTATAACCTTTTTATGGTTTTCCTTTAAATCCTAAAGAGCCAGCTCTGGTTCCGGTCCTCAAAGAAACCGAAACCAGAGAACCCGGATGTAACGCAACAGTTCGGTCTTTATGCTACGATGTTCAAGATGGATGTCAGGATTACGTCACAGTGCCAACCGAACACGTCCATTTTTATCTGGCTGAGCTTGGCTTGGGGACCGGCCCCGACAACCCGGAAATACCGGCAGCACCGGAAATACCGGCATCACCGGAAATACCGGGAACACCGGAAATACCGTCAATACCGGGAAAGCAGCAACCAATAAATGCAGGAACGTTCAGACTAAAGCTTCAAGACCTGCCAAGGCCCAGGCTGACGTCACGCGGATGAACGGTCAGGTAAAGTTTCACCTGTCGAGGCTCAGACCGACGTCACGCGGATGACCACCTCCCCCGAGTCCGCGTCCTGGCTCCGGCTGTGTCCGGGCAGCAGTCCGGGGCAGAACGGGGCCAGGCAGAGGCAGAGGCAGGTCCAGGGGCAGGTCCAGGGGCAGGTCCAGGGCCGGGACCCCAGCTGCGTGGCGTGCAGCGGCCCGCTGGGCCCGAAGGTTTCCAGCGGCAACCAGAGCGTCCTGGGGCCCAGCGAGGAGGGGCCGGTGCTCGTCTCCTCCAGGTCCTTGGCCTTGTCGTAACTCTGGACGTCCCAGTGGAGATTCACGGCGCGCCAGCGCAGGAACACGTTGTACACTGCTGCCCCCTCGTGGACAATAAGGCCTGTTACAACGACAGGAGATCAATGAATAAATGTTTATATTATGATTGATTTAGGACCAAACTGAAAAAATAAAAATAAAATCACATCAATCATACAAATATGAGAATAATGCTTCAATATTATGACTTTATTCTCAAATATTAATTTTAATATAACTTAATATTTGTCTTTATGTTAAAATTCTAAGTATTATTTTTAAATTATTATTAGAATTATTACTATTATTTTCTAAAGCTTTGTTGTGGGAAATTAACCCTTTTTTCATAACCAGCTATGCACTGATAACCCATTCAACTTTTAATTATTAATCCATCTCTTCATGTTTTCCAGTGATATAAATATCAAGCTAATATTTCCTGTCACTTTTCAAAAAGATAAAAATTCACACCATTCATGTAACACAAAGCTGCTTTGAGCCAAAAATGTAAAAAAGTCAGAATAATCTGATTAAATCTGTAACTTTAATTTAAAACGATGTGAGCCAACTCTGGATCCATTGCAAAGTTGAACTCTGCACAGACCGTCGCCATGTTGTGACGGTTTGTTAGGAGTCAGTCTGTGACCATATGGAGGAGGAGGGTCTTATCGCTGCCAATCAATGCTGCTCAATGTGCTCAGGGTCCTGCTGCCCACATCAACGATTTAAAATCTAATGAGTGGTTTAATGGAAGTGAATGCTGCAGAGTCATTCCTGCGCTGCGGGTGGACGGACCTACGCAGACCAGGTCCATGAAGCCGTACATGCCGTAGCAGATCTGGAAGAGGACGTCTCTGCGCTGCCAGACGGCCTGCGGGCTGAGAGCCGACCAGAGCAGCCAGGAGATGCTGGCCACCAGGAAGAGCGAGCCCAGGAACACGGCGATGATCTGCACCTTCTCCACCAGCGTGATGGTGATGGGCTGCCACTGAGGCGGAGGACAGAAAACCTCACACATCCACGCAAACAGGACCTTCATTCAGTTCATTCAGCTACACTGGAAGGAAAACCTGTTTCTCAATATATTCACTGGAATTTTATTTGATGCAACAACAAAAGCAGTGAGTTAGAAGGAAAACGATGCACTGATTTAAAATGTTTCACAAACAGAAAATAAAAAACTGCTGTATGAAATCCAGCAGTTTAATGACCTAATTAATAAACACTTATATATGAGACTTAAGAGTCGTTCTGTTTAGACTCTGAAAACCTGCGAGACCTGCATTTATCTTTCATCATGTAATCACTGCTCAGGTTAATATCAGCTCAAACTGACTTCCTGTTTACCTGCCACGGTCTCTTCATGTTGATGGCGATGACCTGGAAGCGATAGCAGCAGAGCTCACAGGTCCAGCAGCCGCGCTCACTGATCCACTTCAGCAGACACTGCTGATGGGTGTACCGGACCGAGCCGTCACAGCGGCACGGGTTCAACAGGTCACCCTGCAGCCGACACACAGAGGCACACACACACACACACACAGAGGCACGCACACACACACACACAGAGGCACACACACACACACACAGAGGCACACACACACACACAGAGGCACACGCACACACACACACACAGAGGCACACACACACACACAGAGGCACACACACACACAGAGGCACGCACACACACACACACACACAGAGGCACGCACACACACACACACACACACACACACACACAGAGGCCAGTTAACAGGGAAGCAAAATCCATCTTAATGGTCGTTTATCACACATAAACAGAAACATGGCGGCGGTGACGGCATCATCCAGGAGTTTTTGTCAACTGGATGAAATTATGAATAAATTTAAATACCAAGCGAATCTGGTTCAAAACATTCAGGCGTTTTCTAGAAATAGAAAACGCCTGGATGTTTTTTAACATATTTTGTCTTTATGTTAAAATAAAGACAAAATATTGTCTTTATTTTAAAACGGCAAATATGACACGTGAAGTGCAAATAATGAGCTAGTGGGGCCCAGCGCCCCTCAGTTTACGAGAAAAAAATAAATAAATAAATAAAAAGATTAAAGAGGAAAAACGAAAAGGAAAAAAATTTCTCATGATGCATCGTTGATAAACAGAACATCGGCTGATTGATTCCAGGGAGACGAATTCAGCCGCAAATGCCAAAAAGTGAAATGAAAAGCAGCAGGTTCAGTAATACCTGTAACATCATCGCTTTCTGGACCGAAATTCTGGAACGACACAGAATCCTCACGGCTGTCATTAAAAACAGGGTCAAATATTTTCATCTATCAAAGTTACAAAGTTTTGTATATTATTTTGCTTCTCCAGTCCCTTCAATAAGCTCCAGAGAGAAACTGTCTGCTTCCCATCGATTGCCCGGGATTAATCCTGCGCTCGTCGTTTTCCAGCCTCCTTTCTCCTCCAGCAGGTGATCCATCAAAGCAAACCCGTAACTCGTCCACCAGAGGGCCTGAAATCCAGGATCATTCCTCAAAGCTGCAGCAGGACGCAGCCTGGCATCAATCATCACAGACAATCTATTTATTCCTCCTTCCTGGAGGTTTTTCCGGCGCAGACGTTCCTGCAGGACCGACCCACGGGCCCGACCCGCGGGACCGACCCGCGGGACCGACCCGCGGGTCGGTCCCGCAGGACCGGGCCGTGTCCGGCATGTTAACACGACATTAAGGTCAGGGGTCACAGAGCTCGTTTTTCATTGGTTTTAAACTGGTTGCTACGTATTTAACGTGATTGACTAACAACGACGGCGATACCTCCTGCGTCTACGGCGATAGGAGCCGCTGCTGCGCCGCCTACGCCTGTAGTATCGCCTCCTCCTACGTCGGTAGGAGGAGCGTCGTCTACGTCGTCGTCTACGTGCCATGGTAGCTTAGCAGTGATGCTAAGCTAGCAGCTCTTTTATTCAAAGGATTCTGAACTGACAGCCTGTGATGTCATCGCTGAAATCACGTCTCTTCCTGACCATCACTGATGACATCATCTTTTTTGTCATCAGGAATGCATGTGATGTCATCAATGACATCACAGACTGTTACTTCAGAATCCTTTGAATAAAAGAGCTGTTAGCTCAGCATCATTGCTACCATGGCACGTAGGCGACGACGTAGACGACGCTCCTCCTACCGACGTAGGAGGAGGCGATACTACAGGCGTAGGCGGCGCAGAAGCAGCTATCGCCGTAGACGTAGGAGGTATCGCCGACGTCGTCGTTATTACTAGTCGCTCACGTTGACCATGTAGCAAGCAGTTTAAAAACCACAAAAAAAATATAAAAAAATGTTTCACAAAAATAATGACTAAAACTCTGGAGGCACAGATGACGTCACACGTGTTAGTGACATCCATAACGTTTCCCCACTCTGTGGTTTAGTTATAACCACTAAACAGAGTGGTTTAGTGGTTGTAACTTTCCTGAGTGATGTCATCTAACTGGTTCAATCCTGAGTGATGTCATCTAACTGGTTCATTCCTGAGTGATGTCATCTAACTGGTCCAAAAATCTCACTGAAACACTGTGTAGTTCATGAAGTGTAATCTGTCTCTTCTTGTATGAACCGTCATATTTACAAATCACCTGTTACTGAATGATCTTCTACCATGTCCGAATCTAGAGTTATAACTCTAGATCTGTAATTCTAACTCGTTCCTCTTTAGGTCCAAAAATAATGACTTCGGTTTTGTTTCTGTTCAGCTGGAGAAAGTTTTGTCCCATCCTCATATTGATCTGTTTTCAGCAGTCATTCAGTGATTGGATGGTTCAGATGGTGACATATAATGTAGAGCCAGCCTATTGCTGTAATAAATTTTCTCATTTATCACAGCAATAACAACAAAAAACACTTTAAATGAAGCTCAATTACATTTAGCTTACATTGCATCACTTTACAAGGAAGAGACAGATGATGTCATGTCTGATGTCATCGGTGATGGCCAGGAATGGACGTGATGTCAGTGATGACATCACAGACTATTACTTCAGAATCCTTTGAATAAAAGAGCTGTTAGCTTAGCATCATTGCTACCATGGCACGTAGGCGACGACGTAGACGACGCTCCTACCGGCGTAGGAGGAGGCGATACTACAGGCGTAGGCGGCGCAGAAGCAGCTATCGCCGTAGACGTAGGAGGTATCGCCGACGTCGTCGTTATTACTAGTCGCTCACGTTGACCATGTAGCAAGCAGTTTAAAAACCACAAAAAAATTATAAAATAATTAACAAATGTCTATAGATAAATATATAATGTGTGTGTAATACGTATTTTACACACACAGTTGGAAGAAAATTGCACCTGACATTCAGTTGTGCAAAACACCTGGGTGGACATAGCCCCGCCTTCGATGACAGAGCTCCTCCTCAGAGCTGCAGCCTCCACTCTGCTCCTTCAGACTAGCCACCAGAAATTGGAAAACATCAGATCATAACATCTGACCTGACATCATCTGTGCCTCCAGAGTTTTAGTCATTATTTTTATGAAACATTTTTTATGATTTTTTTGTGGTTTTTAAACTGCTTGCTACATGGTCAACGTGAGCGACTAGTAATAACGACGACGTCGGCGATACCTCCTACGTCTACGGCGATAGCTGCTTCTGCGCCGCCTACGCCTGTAGTATCGCCTCCTCCTACGTCGGTAGGAGCGTCGTCTACGTCGTCGCCTACGTGCCATGGTAGCAATGATGCTGAGCTAACAGCTCTTTTATTCAAAGGATTCTGAAGTAACAGTCTGTGATGTCATCGATGACATCACATGCATTCATATAAAGACAGGAGATCTGATCTGTATGGCAAGCCGATTGAACATAAACTCGGTTTTGCCGCCCTTCCATTCCAGAGATCGCAGATTGTTTTATGACTCAACGTTTTAGCGATTTCAACATATTCAAGATGCCACTGCAAAGGTGACATGTTGGACGACAGACAGGTGACATGTTGGACGACAGACAGGTGACACGTTGAACGTCTCTTCCGTGGGTTGGCAAGAGACATTAAGACACGTCACTCATGTCTTAATGTCTCAAATGTTTCAAGACAAAAATCTTGTTTTTGTGACTTTTTTCTGAATTGTTTTATATTTTTTTTGTGGTTTTTAAACTGCTTGCTACATGGTCAACGTGAGCGACTAATAATAACGACGTCTGCGATACCTCCTACGTCTACGGCGATAGCTGCTTCTGCGCCGCCTACGCCTGTAGTATCGCCTCCTCCTACGTCGGTAGGAGGAGCGTCGTCTACGTCGTCGCCTACGTGCCATGGTAGCAATGATGCGCTAAGCTAACAGCTCTTTTATTCAAAGGATTCTGAATTAGCAGCCTGTGATGTCATCGATGACATCACGTCCATTCCTGGACATCACTGATGACATCAGACTTGATCGGTGCCTCTTCCTTTTTCATGAGAATGTAATTCAGAAACATTTCTGTGTTTGGTGGAAGAGTTTAGGATAATTACAAAATTAAATCAAAACATTTTTCACAACCTAAACATCAAGCCAACGTTTTTATTCAGAAATCTGTATTGAAACTAAATATTCTTTCCCATATTTTGGCAGCTTGAGGGCCCCGCTGTAAATATCTGTTTTCAACTATCACCACAAACTTTACCTCAGGACTTTGACTAGGCCATACTATCCAACATGCTTTGAGCTCAAGAAATTCCATGTAACCTTCTGCAGATTTGCCCATCAGCTCTGACCTGTTCCTCTGTTCCTGCTGATAAAACCCACTGCATGACACAGCCACCACCATGCTTAACTGTGGAGACTTTTACAAGTAACAATGTATAAACCGATTCACTCCTTTGTGTTTGTCCATCATATAACTGTCTAGTTATATGATGGACAGTAATATGGTCCATCACATAACTGTGGTTATTTAGTTATAACCACTAAACCACTCTGTTTAGTGGTTGTAACCAAACCACAGAGTGAGGAAACGTTATGGACGTATGAAACGTAGATGAATAGTTTTATAAGTGATTTAACTGAACTTCAGAACCTCTAAATGTCAGATCTGGATTCATTAAAACAACCTCAAAATATAGTAAAAGACGAAATATTGGCTTTCATTGACAGTAATGTTGCATTTTAATGAATAAATCAAATGTTGATGCTAAATTAAAAGCTTCAGTTTAATTCATCAAACTGATTTAATGATGCAACTTTAGGCAGCAGAAAAAGTCAAACTGTGGATTTTATTAGAGTTTTTAAAAAGCAGATAACTAAGGCCTTCACAACCTCCAGGCCTTCACAGCCTCCAGGCCTTCACAGCCTCCAGGCCTTAACAGCCTCCAGGCCTTCACAGCAGCCAGGCCTTCACAACCTCCAGGCCTTCACAGCCTCCAGGCCTTCACAGCCTCCAGGCCTTAACAGCCTCCAGGCCTTCACAACCTCCAGGCCTTAACAGCCTCCAGGCCTTCATAGCCTCCAGGCCTTCACAGCCTCCAGGCCTTCACAGCCTCCAGGCCTTCACAACCTCCAGGCCTTAACAGCCTCCAGGCCTTCACAGCAGCCAGGCCTTCACAGCCTCCAGGCCTTCACAGCCTCCAGGCCTTAACAGCCTCCAGGCCTTAACAGCCTCCAGGCCTTCACAGCAGCCAGGCCTTCACAACCTCCAGGCCTTCACAGCCTCCAGGCCTTCACAGCCTCCAGGCCTTAACAGCCTCCAGGCCTTCACAACCTCCAGGCCTTAACAGCCTCCAGGCCTTCATAGCCTCCAGGCCTTCACAGCCTCCAGGCCTTCACAGCCTCCAGGCCTTCACAACCTCCAGGCCTTAACAGCCTCCAGGCCTTCACAGCAGCCAGGCCTTCACAGCCTCCAGTCCTTCACAGCCTCCAGGCCTTCACAGCCTCCAGGCCTTCACAACCTCCAGGCCTTAACAGCCTCCAGGCCTTCAACCTCCAGGCCTTAACAGCCTCCAGGCCTTCATAGCCTCCAGGCCTTCAGCCTCCAGGCCTTCACACCTCCAGGCCTTCATAGCCTCCAGGCCTTCAGCCTCCAGGCCTTCACAACCTCCAGGCCTTCACAAGCCTCCAGGCCTTCACAGCCTCCAGGCCTTCACAACCTCCAGGCCTTCAAGCCTCCAGGCCTTCACAACCTCCAGGCCTTCACACCTCCAGGCCTTCATAGCCTCCAGGCCTTCAAGCCTCCAGGCCTTCACAGCCTCCAGGCCTTCATAGCCTCCAGGCCTTCATAGCCTCCAGGCCTTCAACCTCCAGGCCTTCAGCCTCCAGGCCTTCACAAGCCTCCAGGCCTTCACACCTCCAGGCCTTCACAGCCTCCAGGCCTTCACAAGCCTCCAGGCCTTCACAGCCTCCAGGCCTTCACAGCCTCCCCTTCAGCCTCTTGCCTTCACAGCCTCCAGCCTCCAGGCCTTCACAGCAGCCAGGAGTCTGGACCCGGAGGCGGAGTTATTAGATTTGATCTGGAGCCACGTTGGGAAGACAGGATGTCCACTTAGGCGTTTCCTGCCTTCTCTCCTGCTTCCTTTCAGCTCTGATGAATCGTCCCTCGTCGTCCTGCTGCTGTCACAGCCCTGCAGGGTCTCAGGTTTCAGCCTGGACCGGCGGTCCATTTGGCCCTGCATGTCCACGTCTGTCCATCCACTTTCAGGAAGACGGGCAGACAAATTGGTGCGTCACTTTGGGATGAGATTTTAACCTGATTATGGTCGGGTCGTTGTGCTGCACCTCTGATGTGACAGATACACTGCAGATCAGGGTTTGGACAAAACATTTTATGACTTTGTCACTTATTTTCTGACAATCTGTACCTGCGTTTATCATTCTGATGAACCAAAATCTTGATAATAATGAGAATCTTATTCTGATGGATGATAAACGATATGATAAAAGCCCCAATGTTACGTCACACAAAGTGAAAAGGTTCAGAAAGTTAGGACGACTTTTGAAAGGATGTAAACGACGGACTAAGTATTTCTTCACGATATAAAAATAAAACTCAGTGATTCTATACAGTTCTACTGACGTCTGACAACAGATGAAAAACATAATATGTACTATATAGAGATCCATGGACCTCTAGATGTATAGATCTATTATACATCTCTATATATATGTTTGTATTGATATAAAGGTCCTTGTATATAGATATATCTATAGGTATCTATAGGTGTAGATGTACATATAGACCTATATGTATATATATGTATAGATGCCTATATGATGTATAGGTGATACTTTCTATCATCCTTCTTTGCTCAACAGATTGCACCTTTAATTTGTACTTTTATTGATGTAATTAGTGGAAACTTCAGTACCATAAATATATTAACAAAATTGAACAAAGTTGTATACATACATGTATATACTATGGAAAATAATACTTTCCACATAGAATGTATATTTGTGATACTACGGAAAGTATAGTATATAATACTATGTAGTACATTATAAAAAAAAAATATATATATATCTATATATATATATATATATAGATATATAGATAGATATATCTATATATATATATCTAAAGATCTATAGATACATCTATAGATCTATATACCACATAGTATATATGGTATATACTATGTGGTATATAAGCCGTATGGTGTCTATACTATAAACTATATATATAGTTTATAGATCTGTATATCTATACATATAGTACATAGTGTATATCTATAGAGTTATATAAAGGTGTATAGGTCTATACATGTTCAAATGGCTAATTTAGTACATAAAGACTTTTGTCTTTCTATAGTTATTTCTATTGTTACTATCTTGTTACTATAGTAATAATAAGTTATTCTAATCAACCAGCTGCTGTGATAAATCGGTGAGGTCAGAGGTCACTTCAGACAGGTCATAGGCATCATTGGTTATGAGACTTCCAGCAGTGAATGTTTGGGTTCGTGTTTCTGGTTCCGGCTCTGATCTCCCTCAGCAGAACCGAAAGGATCCAATCAGCAGCTTCACCCCAACAGCACGAGCTGCTGCCGTCAGCCAATCACAGGGCAGCCAGCTAACCTTCAGCCTCACTTCACAGAACCGCAGTTTGAGGTCTGATCGGGTCGACCCAGCAGAACCCAGCAGAACCAAGAGACCGAGCAGGCCCAGTAAAACTAGTAAACCCAGTAGACCCAATAGACCCAGCAGACCCAGTAGAACCAGTAGACCCAGTAGACCCAGTAGAACCAGTAGACCCAATAGACCCAGTAGACCCAGTAGAACCAGTAGACCCAGTAGACCCAATAGACCCAGTAGAACCAGTAGACCCAGTAGACCCAATAGACCCAGTAGAACCAGTAGACCCAGTAGAACCAGTAGACCCAGTAGACCCAATAGACCCAGTAGAACCAGTAGACCCAGTAGAACCAGTAGACCCAGCAGACCCAGTAGAACCAGTAGAACCAGTAGCCTACCTGTTCCGCTCCCTGGAAGCAGATCCTGCAGCTCGGGGTCGGGATGCACGTCTCGCTGCTGCAGGTTGACGGCATTTCCTGCGTTTTGCCACATCTGCCCCCCACCGCCCCCTCCTCGCTGGAAGTGTTGCCCCCGTTTTCCTCCCCGCTTATTTTCTCAGCGTCAGCCGCACGCGCGCGGCCCTCTTCCTCCTCTTCCTCCTCCTCCTCCTCCTCCTCTCTCGGCTGCGGCTCCTCCTCGCCGTCGGGCTGCGGACGTCCTTGGGAGCGGAGCGGGTCGCTCTCCTCCCAGGTGAGGCGCTGCGTGGCGGCCGGAGCTCCCGCCGCCGGTCCCGCATCTCCCTCCTCTGCGCTCATAATAAAATGCAAAGTCAAAATAAAATTGCATAGATGCCTCCTCCTCCTCTTCCTCCTCCTCCTCCTCCCCGTCCTTTACTGCGACGCAGGGAAAGCCGGCTCGGTTCGGTTCGCTAAAGCTCGGTCCGCTCGCAGAGTTGCACATCAGCAGCCGGAAGCTCCCGCTGCTGGAACCGCCTGCTGCGCTCCGGAGAGCCGCGGAGGCGCTCCATGTTCCTCCTGCTCCTCCCCGGAGCAGAAAACAACCCGAACGAACCTCCTGCCTGTCCGGCTCCTCCTCACAGCGGGAGGCGAGGAGGAGGTGAACGTTCTGCCTGTCCGGCTCCTCCTCACAGCGTGAGGCGAGGAGGAGGAGAACGTTCTGCCTGTCCGGCTCCTCCTCACAGCGGGAGGCGAGGAGGAGGTGAACGTTCTGCCTGTCCGGCTCCTCTTCACAGCGGGAGGCGAGGAGGAGGTGAACGTTCTGCCTGTCCGGCTCCTCCTCACAGCGGGAGGCGAGGAGGAGGTGAACGTTCTGCCTGTCCGGCTCCTCCTCACAGCGGGAGGCGAGGAGGAGGTGAACGTTCTGCCTGTCCGGCTCCTCCTCACAGCGGGAGGCGAGGAGGAGGAGAACGTTCTGCCTGTCCGGCTCCTCCTCAGCAGGAGGAACTTCTTGAGGTCCCTGCGCTCTCAGGCAGCAGCAAACTGCATTTCTCCGGAAATGACCAATCAATCACATTATTACCCCATTAATGTGATGGAGGAGGCGCGTTTCCAGAGCAACCAGAGGGAGGAAGAGCCGCTTCATGATCCCGGCGGCGGCGCAGCATCAGGACCAGCAGGAAGAGGCTGCGGGTCCCCGGGCGGCGCGACCCGCCGCGCTCCTCCTCCTGGTCTTAGAGGAATCACCTGCAGGCGCGCAGATGCTGTCGTCATCACCATCATCATCATCATCATCATTATTATCATTATCATCATCATCATCATTATTATCATTACCATCATCATCATCATTATTATCATCATCATCATCGGCTGCTCAGAACTCAAAACAAACCAGATCTCATGCACCATATGATGTAAAATCATTGTCTGTATGATGACAGCTGTCAGAGGCCTGTCATGTTTTCCCATAGCCTCAAAAAGTCCAAACAAAAGTTCATCGGTACCGGTTCTGCAGGTCAAAGTTGAGTTCAGTCACTTTTAATATTTAGCTATGAAGCTTCGGCTCCTCGGAGCGTCTGACCCTGAGAGGTCAGGCAGCCGGACGGTCCTGCTGTGGGCAGGAAGCTGATTGGATGGAAACAAAAACAAACCTGGAAGGAGAATTAAATGTGGAAAAGCGTCCGTCTTTCCAGACTCATCAGATTTTAAATGATCAGTTTTCCAAGCCTGTTTTAACAGTGAACAGTTTCTCAGTATTTATGACATCATCAGGTGACAAAGGTTGACCAGGTTGTGTTCTGGTTGATCTGAGGAAATGGGAAACAGCAGCTGGGTTGAGCTGAATGAAGCGTTTCCAGCAGGAATCTCCACGCCGCTTCACTCCGTCATCATCTCCATGATGATCCTCAGACGTTCAATCATTCCTGAGAGAAGAATCCATTTCCAAGAACATTCTCTGGGTTTTTTTTCTTTTGAGGATGTCTTTCACTTTCCGGAGAGCGGGTCCAGTAATGGACTCTAATGCAGCAAAGGAAATTATCCACTCATGTCCGATCACTACCTACACAGCGCCGATCAATACCAGGCCCCCAGGGCTCAGAGGGAGACCAGGATCATGCAGACAGAAGGGGGAAGTTAGAACTAACTCACTATTATCACTGTTATCACTAATATAATATCTATTTCTACATCAATCTACACAGATACCTTGATATTTGTCTATCTATAAATAAATAGATAAACTTTATGAAATGCCAGATGTTGCTTTAATCTAAAACTATTTGCGTCTCGAGATGTGAAGCGAAACTGGAGATGGAAAAAAGACTCCATTTCCACCAAAACTCAGAATTAATTTCAGAAATTTTCTAGAAATAACTTTGACATTTCTGAGCTAAAAAGTAAAAAAAAATTCAAGAGAAATGAAAATTGATTAATGTCAGAATTATTTTTAGAAAATTTCTGAGTTCAAAATTCAGAAATCTGCAAGAAAACAAATTCATGTTGAAAAAAACTGGAAATTTTCTGAACTCAGAAATACAAAATTATCTGAGTTTCAAAAGTAAAATATTTTCTGCATTTCAAGCTCATTAATATCAAGTTTAGTGTTGAAACATTTTGAGATTTGTCTCCAAATTCTGACGTTTTTTTTCCTCCAAATTTTGACTAAAGTGGCTTTTTTCACCTTAATCCTCATCTGTCATCTCCGCCCAAGCCAAAATAAATAAATTAAAAAATTTCAAAACATAAATAAATGTTCCTCCATGTGGGACTTGTTAGACAATCCAGAATAATCTGGTGATAATCTGCAGATCTCCTGAGGATCAGACGCTGAAGAGGAAATTTGCACAGGAAAACCTGCTGATAACAGAAATTGGCTGAAGTCAGGAGTTATGCAGCGATTTGTCATTTCATGCAATCATGCAAAACAAAGCACCAAATCCACTCCATCGTGCTGCTTCCAAGCATCAATTTAAACTTTTCATTAACAGCAGGATGTCAGAAAAACAGCAAAGACTGAAGGAAGCTCATAAATTCTTGGTGATTCATAAATCAGCGGTCTCATAAAGGAGCCGCTGCGGCCCTCAGACATCCATCACTCCTCTCTGACGCGCACAGATCTAATGCCTCATCTCTCTCCCACGTCGTCCGGATCAATTAGTCTCCTCCGCGCCGTCGGCCTGTCTGCGCCGCCCCTCCTCCGCGGCGTGCGCCCGGGCAGAGTGCCCTAAACCTCCCCACCATCAAACACACTCAGGAAGTGCAGCGGCTGCCAAATATAAAGTGGAGAACCGCAAACAAATGGAGAAACTGAGCTGATTAATGCAGAGGAGTCGCCATGACATCATCCGCTCCAGGCTCATTCACAAATCTGACGAATGAGAACAGAAGGGCGTGACGGAGTCCAGCTTTGATTCTCATCATTTCACAGAAACAGGTTCTGAGTTTCTATAAATAATAACATTACAGACACTCTGAGGATAAAACAGCAAATCATAGAAAAACTAAACGTTTCTCATATAAACAAAGCAAATTAACTTTTATTTCAAATATGTTTTTATACATTAGCTAAAACTGTTACTGACAGCATGAGGCAGGTCATCTTCCTGGGTTGCTTTTGTCATCTGAATAAACAACCAATCAGAGCCAGCAGGAGGGGCTTAGCGCCGCCAATCATCCTCGTGAACATGTTGCTAAATGTGCTAACAGCTGAGAAACTAAGTTCACCCACCGTCATGGATGGCAGAGAGAGAAGATGATTGACAACGCTAAGACCCGCCTCCTGGCTCTGATTGGTCGTTAGCGCTGGGAGACAGCAGAGCGGATTGGTGTTTTACATAATTACATAATTGAGTATTCAGCTGTTGGCTTGGTCTTAAAACACATTCAGAGCCGACCCGAGCAGCTGCTAACAGCACAGAGCAAAGATCTGGGATTTTAACCTCTGATCATTGGGAATTAAATGATTTCATGGTTTCAGAAGACATAAATTAAATAGTTTCACATTTAAATTCAAAGGAGTAAAACATGAACACACTTCATGGATTTAATCTAACAGTTTAAAGACCTGAGGCAAAAATAATTTCCTCAAACTTCAAAAGAGCTGCAGAAAGAAATGATGGGAGGAAATTTGATGTAAATATTTTACTGAACGAGTGAATTAATTTAAAATCACATTTAATCACATTTCAGTTGCATCATCAGTTTAAAATCATTTTTAATCTATTTAAGTCTCAGCTGGAGGAGAACGTCTGGATATTTTCATTTCATACGTGGGACTATTAGTAAAACATGAGAATATTTTGATGAATTTAACTTTTGCTCTTTATTTTTATTTTATTGGTTGTTTTTCTAACGAGGCTGATCAGATTCAGTTCAGTTCAGGAAAGCAGTTCCTCCTTCTTTCAGTTTTGCGGTTCGTTTTCAGCTCATCTGCACTTTTTAATCAAGACGAGACAGAAAAGTCTGAGTTCCCCTCGTTTTCCCGGCAGCCATCATCCAGCTGCAGCAGTCTGTGTCGCAGCTGCAGCAGTCTGTGTCGCAGCTGCAGCAGTCTGTGTCGCAGATGCAGCAGTCTGTGTCGCAGCTGCTTCCTCTCCCTCTCAGAACATAACCTGCGCTCTGAAGTGCTTCTGCTTGGTGGCGTTGTTGCTCATCCCCGTCTTCAGCATCCAGCGGGATTTCATCCTCTGGACGTACTGCATGTCCCTCTGTCTCTGCTGGACCGAGCCGCCTGGAGGGACGGACATTTTGTTAAAGACAGGAGGACAAACGTCCCACTGAGGGAAGTCAGAAAACCACATTACAGCTGATTTTATGTAGATTTTTTGAGTTTCAACAATAAAAACACATATCTGCTGTAAATATAAATCACAATTAACTTGTTGATGTGGTTGCTATGGTTACAATTATAGACCCAGAAGAGCTGATTGGTAATTGATCTACATTTAGACCTGAACTGATCGATTTCTGCAGGATGTTTCAACCATAAAGGCTCTTTGCCTCTTTTCCTTATTTTATTACAAAATATTTATTTTTTATAAAGATGTATATATTTTAACATTTTATTTTTATAAATTATGTCTCTTATCAAATAAATGTATTTTTACAGGCTCTGGTACATATGTATAAATATATATCTGTTTATATTTACAAATATTAAAATCACCTCATAATTTCTAACCCAGAAGCATCAAGTTGATGATTCAGCCTCCAAACTGAATCATGTTTTTCTCTGCGGAGCCTCACCTGCGTCTCCCGCCCAGCCCAGGGCTCTGTACTGCCGCAGGACCCGGCCCACGGCGTTCCCGCTGCGGCCCGGAACCACGGCCCGCTGCGTCCCGAACCGCTGCCGGTAGTACCTCATGAGGGAGCGGTGGCCCACCTTGGCACCTGAGGAAACAATCAGCGGTTTGAACGGCTTCCAGAGCCAAACCAGCAGCTGGAAGCAAAGGTCACCTGAAGGCAGGGTCAGCTCCATCGTCTCATCGTCGTACTGCAGGTTCTTCTCGTCTGGCAGATCCTCGTCCGTCCCTTCATCCGCTCCCTCGCTCCGGTCCGGGTAACTGCTCCTGTTGGACCAACAGCAGCAGCACATCGGTTCACAGAGCAAAGAGGAAATCTGTCCCAACTTCAGGAAACATTGAAGTTCATCGTCTCAAACTGAAGGAGGTTAAAAACGTCGAAACCAGAGAAACACCTGAAGTCGTAGAAATCTGCGAACTCCAGGGCGGCGTCTCCGTCCGTGAACAGCTTGCAGTGGCTCTTATCCGTCATGTGACTCTGCACCGCCTCTGTGGAGTAAAACGAGCGGCCATTCTCGTTGCACCACAAGCAAACGTTCCCAGCACCGACTTTCTCTCCTGAGGAAAAAGTTCAGGAAGTTTCTTAATTTGCAAAAAAAAAAAAAAAACTGAAATACTTTAGAAACAATCTAAGAAAAAAAACCTCAAATAAATCAGGAGATTTCTGTGATCCAAAAGTCAAAGTTTTAGATTAATGACAGAAATGTTCTAGAAAAATTTCTGAGTTGAAATTTCTTCTAAAAAATTTCTTAGATTAATCTCAAAATTCTTCTCTTAAATTATGTTCAAGTTTAATATTTTTTTTTTTTTACTCAGCAAATGAAAGATTTAACCCTTTATGTTCTGAATCTTCAAACCAGAGAAAAGTCTTGTTTTAAGAAAATGGCCAGTTAACCGTTGACAAGATCAATCAAATCAGCATTCGATGATGGAAACAAATTGTAAGAATCTTATAAAGCTAAATATACAAAGCATGATGAGGAACGTGCAGCGATGGACCCACCCAGGTACCGGACCAGGCCCCTGAGGTCCACCAGGAACTCCACGTCTGGGATGAAGAAGCTGTGGACTCTAGTCATGTGAGCCACGTTTCCTCAGCAGCGAGCGAGAGCGGTGGGGGCAAAACAGGCAGTGTGTGACGGGGACGGAGCCCGGCAGGGCCCAGCAGGGGGCCCGGCGGAGAGCCGCCTTCCTCCTCCTCCATCAGCTCCTCTTCATCCGCATCTTCCTCCATGTCATCATCGTCATCCTCATCAACATCCTCCCACTCCTCTGGAGGGTTTTACAGAAACAGGTCAGACACTTTTCCCACAGTCAAATCTATATATTTTTATTGAATTATTTATCTATTTATTTAGTCCAAAGTTTATACCACCAATCCAAACTGGTATGACACTAAAAAAACCTTGAATACAACAATTTTTTTTTGAAATGTCTGTTTAAAACACATCCTGAACAAAACACTAACTGAATAAAAAATTCCCAAATTTCAATAACTTTAATGTGTAAAACATTGAAACAATCCAATGTAAGAGCTGAGCTAAATCACCTTCATCCTCAATTAAATGATTAAAATATAGAAAAAAAGTCCAAACAGATCAATAAAAGAGTCTTCACTAAGTTTTCTGCTGTTTAGCAAATAAAATTTTATTAATTCTATCTGACCTACAATAAGAAACATTTTGTCTTATTTAATTTTGGACATTTAGAAAATTTTTTAACCTTTTTATGACTGGATTTCAACTGTAAATGTTCAAATTTAGTCTATTAAAGAAACTTCATATCACACTTTATTACCAAATTGTGCAGTTTGAATATTAATCATTTTCAATGATTTCACCTAGAAATCAAGAATTTTCCAAACACCAACAGAAAGTCTTGGATTTTCAACCCTGAAAAACATCAAATCTTCTTCATTTAAACATTTAAAATGCTTTTTAATTCTGTTTACCTTCTGCTGCCTCTCCTCCCTCCTCTCTCTCTCGTCTCTTCACCTGCTCCTCCCCCACACCATGCGGGGCGGTTTCTCCGCCCTCGCCGCGGCGGTCTGGACCATGGCCGTCTTGGCCGGGTTGGGCCTGTGCTGCTCCCTCAGCACCTGCTGCAGCGCCTCGTTCCTGGCGTCGTTGTCCACCTTCTCGTCGCAGACGCCCTTCTCCAGGTTCTTCTCATTCATCCTCTCCACCTTCCTCTGCGCCGCCAGCAGCGCCTGCCTCTCCGCCTGCTGGTGCTTGTGGGACTGCAGGTGGTTCTGGTAGGCGTTGGCGCTGGAGAACTTCTTGCTGCAGATGCCGCAGCTCTCGGTGGCGTGGGTCAGCTGCTGGTCGGCGGCGGTCCGCTGCGCCAGCACGCGCTCCTGGAAGTTCTCTGCGGTGACCGGTGGCATGTCGGCCACCTTGCGCTTCAGGTTGTAGCGGTGCCAGTCGGTTTTGTAATGCGCCCGCTGCACCTCGCCATCGGCGAAGGCCACCCGGCAGCTGATGCAGGTGTAAGACGCCATGGTGACCTGAAGGCATATCGCTCATGTTTAGACTTCTTAATCACAATACAGACAAAAATATGACTCTTACTAGCAGATTAAAATACAGAAATCAGTCGAAAGGTTTCTGTTTGAAATGTTTAAAAGCAAATGTAATAATTACTTTTATTTAACCAGAAAATAAAGTTGAGAATAGAAAGTTTATTTCTGTAGCTCATTTACAACAACCTCAGTGCTTCTAAACAATTCAACATCACAAGTAGACAGATGATAAAACAGAAATAAAATTAAGTTTGTTGAAAATGATTATTATAAAACTGGCAGAAAATACCAAAAACTGATATAAATAAAAACCAAAATATAATTAATTTCAGCTGCACTGATTTCACACAAAAACTGAAACCAGTGAAAAGGAGGACTAGTATCCCCCCTTTCTTCATTAATATGCCTGTCACAATAAGCAATAAATCAATTGATCACATGACGAATTAAAACAAGCTCAACCATTTCAATTTGTATTATTTATCTTTTTCCTCTTTTCTCTCATTCTAACTAAAATTGGATGATAAAGTTTCAGTTTGCTGCTTCAGTCTAAACTAAACCCTTTTTTGATGTACAATTTTGTTTCCAGAGACTTTATCGTTTATTTTATTTATTGTTTCTGTTGTTTTGTTTGTTTATTTTTGGATATTTAAAATGTCTTCCAGTTCCAGTGCTTAGTGTCCATTCCAATTGAAAGTTTATTGATCTTTGAGAATGAGTTGTTACATTATTATTTTAAGTAAGTGGGGTCCTGAAGAAGCCTATATCAAAGAGAAATGTTATTCAAGAATAATATTTGTGTTAGTGGCGCTATGAATGCTGGGACATGTAGTCACAGCCACCCAGACCTTAAAAATGTTTTAATAACATGTAGTCACTTCCCTAATGTCTGTCAGCATCAGTTAAACACTTTTATTACATTTAGTTGCTGTTATGGTTGTTTCTATATTTAACTGAGACACATTTCTGTAAAGTCAGCAGATAAAGCTCATAATAAAACGGTTCCTGGACAGCGACCTTCATAACATTATTACAAAGGAAATTTTACACCTCAGCTAGCAATCTGTTAAACAGACGATCAATCATTTTAGCGATTATTTAGATTAACCATAAAACGATAAAAGTTTAGATAACCTGCCCTGATATCTGTTAGCAACAAGCTAGCCAAACTCCCAGCTCAGGCTTAACACCGCCGATAAACAACTGAAGTTCGAACCGTTCCGACTTTCAAACCAATCTTAGAAAAAGCTGATTTTACATCCAGTAATTACTTACTTATTTAAGGTGCTTAAGACTGAGAGCCAAAGAGCCTGAGTGGTGACTTTTATTCTCACTTGTAAACACGAGGGTAACGCTGAGCTTTAAACTTCTTCTGTGAACTTCCATCCGAATCCCGAACGGCGCACTATCGCCCCCTTCAGGATAGACCGACGTTCTCATCACAGAGAAAGGCTTGATACGTGTGCACGTCCGCCATGTTGTGAGTGTCAGGTTGATCTCGTAAATGAACACGGAAACTGGTTTTTCCGACTAAACCAAACAGCGAAACGGACTTGAATTCACTTTTGGTTTAATAGTATTTAGAAAACACATTCATTGACACAAACACAGAAAAATATGCAAATCAAAATAAGGAACAACAAAATCTCACCTGGGAAAATCTGAAGGAAACTGCACTCATTTTTCTAGTTTATTTTGTTAAGAAGATTTAAACGACAAATCCTACAGAAAGATATTTCATATGAAATAGTCCTTTTTCAGGAGAAAGCTTCTCATAAGCTTCATTTTTGTATTTACATTTTAGTTATCATTTAAAAATAATGCTAGATCAGAGGTTCACAAAAGACACCAAGTAGGCTGTCGTGAAATAATTTTTATTATTATGGGAATGTGAACCTTGATATGTGTAAAGGGCCAATAGAGACAACATTAATTAAATAAAATAAATAAATAAATCTACCGTTAAGTGTCTCATTAAATAATGTAATATACATTTTAAGTGATTACAGTACATAATCCAAAATAATTTTTATTAAACAAATTTATTTAAAAACATAAACAATAAAATAACAATATGTATTTTAAGAGGTTGCCAGTCTCTTGCAATGTTATTTTAAGTCACAAGGCTGAAAAGTTTGGAAACTCCAGAGCAGCAATGAAAACATTTGCAACATTTGAATTTCCTGGATAAAATAACGTTTCCAAAAGATTTAAGAATAAATGCCAGGGCCTCTCTACGTTTTATTTTATTTTTTCAGTTCAAGCACTACCAAATGCACAAAACACATGACAGTAAAATTCAACTCAGAGAAATTCAAACCCAGTCTACCTAAGTTTACAGAACTCTACAGCATCTTTGGAGTAATAAATCCAAACTCCAGCATGAAGCGGCTCAGTGAATCTGGTCTGGACTCTGTGGATCAGAGTCATGGATCCAGAGACGCTGTAGAAGGACAGAATACCTGCTGTGTGATCCAGGTACACTCCCACTCTGGAGGAAACTGGACCTGAGACAGGAGTTTTGATGTTCTTGTGAAAAAATGCATATTTTTTCTGGTAACAATCCAAAGCCCAAGACTTGTGATTCCGACCAAATCCACATTCATTCCCACCTCCTGCTCTGCTGATATTATTGTATGAAACAGCAACAAATCCTCCTCTTCCTCTCCACTCCACCTCCCAGTAACAACGTCCAGTAAGACTCTCTTTACTCAGGACCTGACAACAACCAGTGAATCTGTCTGGATGACTTGGATAAGACTGAGGTTGATTCATCAATGTCACCTTCCTGTTCTCTTCTGATAAAACCAGATGTGTGTGAGCCGAGTTTGGATCCAATGTGATTTTACATGCATATCTTAAAAAGTCAGATTTGTTCATTGGTTCTGACAGTAGAACATCCACCTTCCTGATTTTCAGGACGTCCTGCAGTTTGTCTCTGAGCTCTGACACAGCTGCTGCCACGTCCTCAAAGTGTCTCAGAGGACGGATGTTGATGCTGGATGAGTGTGTGGACTCACTGAGTGCTGGCAGTGAGGGGTAGTTGAGGAGAAACTGGTTGTGATCCTCTGTGTGTGAGAGCTGCTCCAGCTCAGCGTCTTTCCTCTTCAGCTCAGTGATCTCCTGCTGCAGCTTCTCCTCAACATCTTTGACTCGACTCACTTCAGTTTCCTGCTGGGATCTGATCTGCTGCTTCACATCAGAGCTTCTTTTCTGGAGGAGACGGATCAGCTGGGTGAAGATCTCCTCACTGTCCTCCACTGTTTTATCAGCAGAGTGATTGATGGCCTCCACCTCCTGCTGAAGCAGCTTCACATCTTTCTCTCTGTCCTGGATTCTCTGCTGGATGTTTCCTCGTCTCTCCTCCAGCTCTCTCTGCCTCTCAGTCCTTTCTGCTGCAGCTGATACTGTGTCGTGGCCTTTATGTTCATCCACAGAGCAGAGATAACAGATACACTTCTTATCAGTGCGGCAGAACATGTTTATCACCTCATCATGCTTAGAGCAGATGTTCTCCTGCAGGTTCTTGGTCGGCTCCACCAGCTTGTGGTACCTGAAAGTTGATGAATAATGATGAGGCTGAAGGTGTTTCTCACAGTAAGAGGCCAGACAAACTAAACAGGACTTGATGGCTTTCAGTTTTCTTCCAGTACAGGAATCACAGGCCACATCTTCAGGTCCAGCATAGCGATGGTCAGTAGGAGCAGCTTGGAGTCCAGTCTTCTTCAGTTGCTCCACTAACGTTGCTAACATGGTGTTTTTCTCTAGGACAGGCCTTGATATGAAGGTTTTCCTGCACTGAGGGCAGCTGTAAATACCTTTCTTATGCTGTTCATCCCAGTGGGTGTTAATACAGTTCATACAGTAGCTGTGTCCACAGGGAATCGTCGCCGGATCCTTCAGTAGATCCAAACAGATCGGACATGAAAAAGATTCTCGGTCCAGCTGAACTGCCTGCGGCTCCATTTCTGGTTTCTGTGACTGTTGAGTCCTACCTATATTTAAGCCTGAGCACAGAAGGGGAAGGAACAAGCAAATATGCGATCCGACTGGAAATGGAGGAAATGCCAAGAGGAGAGCTGTTTATCAGGTTTGGTCACAGTCCTGTAAAATGTGACGTGTTTCTGTTTGTACAGTAAAGACTCAACCTGAAGGTTTTCTGCCAATCAGTTCTACTGTTTATTAAATTTCATTATCAGCTTGTTTTAGACATTTACTGAATAATGATAATAACATTTTCTCCATGTCTAGAAAAACCAAATGCTGATTTTTTTTAAATGCTAGAGTTTAGTTCAGAAAACGTTTCTTAATGTCAAAATATAGAAAATGTCAAGATCTTATATATATCACTAAATCCTAACTTCTAAGTAATGATTCTATAATTGTAGTTTTTAATTCTATCAAACTGCAATGTTTTGTTTGTTTAGATTTAGGCAACATTACAGGCTCCTGGGTCTTTAGCGCCCCTTGTGGTAAATAATCTAAACAGCAACTCATCATTTCTTCTGTCAGGAAATGATGAGCAAAGATCTTTAGATTTCCATCTGCTGACAAAAATACCGGCAGTAGCAGTACACTGAAATAATAAAATATAAACAAACTGAGATTTCTAGTTCTTGTATTTGTTTTGTTGACATTTAATTGTTTGATATTAGATCAAGTTATAAAGAAGAATAACTCCCGGAAATCCTCTGATATGTTAGTGGCTTAATAAAAGTAATAAAAATAAATGTAATTAAATTAACTACAATGAAAATCAACAATGTTTCCTCATGTTTACAAATAAAAACATCATTAAGATCCAACAGACTGATTTAAGAGAATTTATTGAATTAATGACTTGGACAACATTAAAGTATATTAAATATTAGGATATTTTAATTATTTTCCACCTCCATCATATTTTTTCTTTAAATCTCATGCAGCAGGCTAATACAAATTCACACAGCTCAGCTTTTGAATTATGGCAAAAATGAATAAAAATCAATCAGTGGCCAGGTGGAAACAGGCTGGGTCTCTCGTTCTGGGTCACAGCAGGTCAATTTGTTTTCCATTTTCTGCCATGTGGTGGTAAAATAATTGAGCTGCATCACTTCTGATTACTGTGGTCAGAAATAAATGCTGGATTTGTTTGGTCAAATAATAAAAGACAGCACAATCTTGATTCTTTATTTTTATTTTGCATTCATACAACCTTGCGGTTTAAAGCAGAAATTGGCACAGCTGGAACTAAAATCATAAAGTGGAAAAAATATCAAAAATAAAAATGAAACAAGAAATGAAAGAGGATAATACTGTGAATAATAAGTCAGAACAATTACTTCATCAAACTTGTTTTCCTGTATTGTTCCAACAGTCAGTCTAATCTCTGTTTTTCCTCATTTGGATTCCCGGCAGCTCTCTGCCATTCATCCACAAAATCTCCTAAAGTCCCTCTGCAGGAGGTTTATTTAGATATCCATGCATATCATTCTGAGACCAGCTGCATGTTGCATCAAAAGAAAAGTGAAAAAGCTGCAAAATGTTTGATAAAGTAAGAAACACTAAGATCCTAACGCAGGAGATCCAATGAACCTGATTATCTTCTGAAACCTTCATCATCAATGATCCAGCCATGAACAACGTTTTCATCTCAGCCTGAAACATGTAGCTATGCAGTGATTATCACCATGAACTTGTTCACTTCTTTGGATTTCTGGGTTATGCAGTTGAAAGAACTAAGCCAGATTTCAGGTGACTGTTTGGCTCGGATTGCTTCTGTGGAGTCAGTATGAGTAGTCAGTGTCTTGTTTTCAAAAAACTAATTTCACAACCTGGACGAAGAGAAAGAACTTTGTAGGTCTGAGCAAGCTGGCAGTAGGTACAACAGCTTCACACAAATCAGATGTGCCATTATACAACCGTACGTCTTTGAAAAGCAAAAGTGGAGCCTCCTGCACAACCAACAAGAATGCAGCAAAGTGATTTCTGGATGGTAAGTCAACAACAAAACACTTCCTTTTCTTTTTCCAGGCTGTTTCATTGCAGATCTCAAATCACAGGTTCTGTTTCCTTTAAGAACCTCCACATCATGATGAGATCCACATTTGCACTAGGGTAAGTGAGCCTCTGCTGCACATGTGCTGAAACAGATGTTTCAAATGTAAATGCTAACTCTAGAAGATACAAATTGTAATATTTTCTCCTCAAAAAGAAGCCAAAAGTGACAGAAACTCTGATTGTCTTTCATGACCATCTACCTCCACTGCCGAACTTTTCACCAGTCAGTGGCGTCTGAGGAGTTTAGAGAAGAATCCAGACGAGGCTGGTTTGTCTGTCTGGGCCGGTTCCTCCTCTTTGGGTTTCGTCTTCTCCTCTACCAACCCGAGCTCTCCTTCCAGTTGCTCCAGCTCAGACTGGTCCAGCAGCTCAAAGTCCTCCACCTCGCTGTCAGACTCCTCGGCTAGGTCCAGCAGCCGGCTCGAATCCGGAGGCCTTGACCTCTCGGGGTCTTCGCTCAGAGCCAAGCAGCCGACTGCGGCCTCTATCCTCTCCTGGATGGCGGACGTAACAGCGGCGGCGATAACGTCGCCGGTCATCTGGTTGACCAGTTCCAGGACGCTGTCGCTCGGTTGGCCTTCGTGTGATGGAGGAGGCGATCGCTTTGATTTGATTGGTTTAGGTGGAGGTAAGGAAAGGTCAAGACTGAGGTCATCGTCACCGTTGGTTGTTGTGCCGTTATCAAGGGAAGGAAAATCTGGGAGCCCAGCGGTGAACAATTCCTCTTTATCAAGATCTGAAAGAAGCAGATATGGACCAAGAAATGATTAAGAAGCTCAGAATAACCAACCAGGACTGTCATGTCCTCTTCTCCAATACGAAACACAGACTTTCAGAAATAAATGTACAGTAAATTTTCTCAGGAGAAAATATTTCTCTCAAAGCTACAAAAGTCTCAATAAAAGGAATGCTGCCTTTTAACAAACACCTGAATTATTCTTAATCAATGGAAATATCAATTGGAAATTTGAGTTTCTACCAACAGCGCTTTCAAAGACCAACTCAATCTGAAGAGGTTTCAGTGTTACTGCTTGTGCTGTAATACCTAAATACCACCACTAGATGGCACTAAGGGAATATTCTTGCAGGATAAACCTGTGAAATGTCAATAACTAACCATCCACAGGCTAAAACATTAACAGGTTCTGTTATTCTCACCTTCTGAGTTCTCCGTCTGCGGAGTGTGTCCCTCTGACAGGTTGAAAGTGCCGTTATCCGTCCACGTCACGTCAGACACTTCAGTATCTGACACCGACATGTCTTTACACACCGTGGAGTCGAGCTGTTTCACCAGAAACACACAGAAATGTCACCTTTTGCACTGAAAAGCTGTCAGTTGTATAAAATGCAGGGTAAAATCTCTGACTTTATTTTGTTTAGCCCCTCCAGCCCGCCCGACTCCCGCTGGAGGTTTAACAAGCTAACAAGACTCATAAGGATTAAGTGGTCAATTCCAGTTGTTCTAACTGGACCCTGTTAGTGAACAGAACCAGATCCAAAAGGCGAAAATCAATTACCAACCTTGGGAAACATTGAAGAAAGGTCGGATTCGACGCCTTCTCTCTCCCATCTGAGCCTGAACGAGTCTCTCCTCTGAAAAGAACGAATCAACAAGAATCAGATTCAATTCAAATAAATGCAACTTCGTTTAAAAGACAAGATAATGAAAAACACCTCATGGATTGAATATTTTCCTTTATTTGTGAGCTTTTTTGGAAGCAGTTTTTACAGAAAACTAAGAAAGTTACAGTGCATTTATCTAAAAACACATTATGGCTGCTGTTGTTTAATATTCAATATTCAGGCTTGGGTTTGCAGAGGGGAACATGTTATTCCCTCACTACAGAGTGAAATTATTTAAAAAAACATGAGCCAAAGTTTAAAGATGTCCAGAAGGCCGACTTTAACAGGTTACAAATTAGTCTGCATATTTTACAGAAAATACTGTTTAGTACTTACCATGGTTCTGCTTGATTTTATGAAAAAATTGCCCGATGCCGAAGTCCAGCTTCTGCAGAACTGGCTTCAGCCACAAACTTTTGTCTTGAGATGAAATCAAAGGCAACAGGAAAAAACCCAGCACTGCAGGAAGGAAACAACATGATCAATGCAGCAATGATTGTAAAATAAATAGAAAAAGAGTGCGACAGGTCGCTTCACTCACATATGATGTAGGAGATAACGATTCCTGGAACGTAGCGACCCAAGACAGCGAAGAAGGTGCAGAGACTGCAAACCAGCAGGCAGAACTAACACAAACACAAACAGAACTTCCTCACTGCTGGTTTTTCTGATTTATTTCTGGTGTTTGATTTTATGACAAACTCAAGCTCACGTTGCCAGGTTGTCAGCCTCACCTTGCCAGGGTTTGCTGTTTGAACGCCGACGTCTCCTGGATGAAAAGTCTCAGGGACTCACTGAGCTGAGGTCCGGTTCTGGACCGGCTGTCCTGCCCCGAATCAATGATCTCCCAACTGGAATCACACAAACCCAGGAACCAGAATCAGTCACTGAAGCTGGAAAATGTGTCCCTTCATCACACGAGGATCCAAACTGTTCAAAAGGTTTTTCACAACCAGGGATTGATGTCAATAAAACAGGCGTCTGTTTGTTATTGGACAGATTCTGACCAAATTTCATTAAGCAGTTTAACTTTGTATATATTAGAGTAGTAACACAAAAACAGGAGGATGATTGCTAAAACAAACAGGTGTCAGACGGAAACCGGGAGGAGACGAAGTTTTCAGAGACAGCTGAAATATAAAATTTCCATTTCTTTCCCGGGATTTCCCTCACCTCACTTTGTGCTCTTATTTTACATAACAAGGACAAACCGTGACTGGTGTGGGGAAAACCAGGTAGGAGTGTAAAATGTAAGGCATGTTTCCTCCCTTAAATCCATGAACTGGAATGTTGATCCTTCATCTGTCCTTGTTTCAAAGCCAAGCCAACACACTGGAGGTGATAATACTCTGTGATGTACAATGATCCAACCCCAGGTCAGCTATGAAATATATGAGAGGCTTTTTTAATGTGTAAACATTTTATTACATCAAGAGTTGTCACATTTTGGCTAAAACTGTTTGAAATACAAAATGTGGGGAACAGAAGGGAACTGCGTAGTTTCACTGTTTCTGGCTTAATGCCTGTGATTGTTCCTTTTAAATTTGCCGAGCTGTTGTTCTGGTCGTGTTCATCACGTGAAACAACTAAGCACTAAATTTAAATCCAGCTGAGGATGGAAACTTCCTGTCCTGTGTGAGCAGCTGTTCTGGAAACAGCAAACAACTGCTGCAAAATGAAGCTCAAGTTACAGCAACAACTCAGTCATCTCCTCTTGGTCTTTACGACTCACCAACAAACAACCAGCTAAGGTTGTTTATATTTTTTATAAGACTCAGTTAACTGGATCTGCTGTGATTAATCCAGGAAGTTCAGGTTTTACATCAATGCGGTTCTTGACTCAAAACTCACAATTATTTTCTGAACACAAACAGTTTCCACCTCAACTGTGTACAACAAACGAGCGAATGATCAATACGGAAGAATTCAACACTTAAATGAACAACTAAAGTGTTACTTATACAAATACATTCAAATATGAACATATATGAATTGTTTTGAGAACCTCTTCCTGTTCTCGGCATCAACATGGTTGAATTTAGAGCTTTAGGTTTAGCATTAGCGTCTGCTAAATACATTGTCTTCATAATGACTAAACATTAACTACAGCTAAATACATTTGTTTGCGTAGCGTTTTAGCTTTAGCTGTTGCTAAATACTTTGTTGACATAATGACTAAACATTAACTACAGGTAAATACATTTGTTTGCGTAGCGTTTTAGCTTTAGCTGTTGCTAAATACCTTGTTGACATAGCGCTTCAGCATAGGTTCCTCTAAATATAATCTTAATATAGCACTTTTGTACTAGTATTTTCTAAATACAAGGTTGGTTTTGTGCTTTAGCATTAGCTTTTGGTAAATAATTTGTTATAGTGATGTAGCACTAGCTTCTACTAAATACCATGTTGACATAGCATTCTAGTTTAGCTCCTGCTAAATACAATGTTGGTATGCTATTTTATCATTAGCATCAGATAAATACAATGTCTGTTCAGAACTTTAGAATTAGCTTTTGCTAAATACCATGTTGTTATAGCACTTTATAAGCAGAAATGTACATGTCCTGTTTGCGATAGTCTCGTGATGGTTGGATTTGATGCTTTAGGATTAGTTTCCCATAAATGTCACATTAGTTTAACTATTAGCATTAGTGGAGCTAATGTTTATAATTAGCTCCTTATTGTCCTTATGCTCAACAACTCAGGCTAATCTGAGCATTCATAGCTCTCCAAACTAAAATACAGAATGGCCACTTAACTCCAAAGCATTTTCTTTTTCCCATTTATTTGCTTTGGCTAAATTAGAAGCTGGCTTTAGCCTCCTTCAGCTTATTCTGAACCCGATCCTCCAACACAAACTTCATCACAAATGGTCCAGCTGTTTGTTTGCTGCTTTAGTCCTTTTATAGGTTTCTTATTCTCAAGACACTTTACAAAAAACTAAATTCTATTTTAATGTTTTTAAAGATGGTGCAACTCCAGTGATTTCATCAACACATCTGATTTAACTTGACATGTCATGTTCCAGATTTATCTTCCATGTTAGCACATCTGACAAAAAGGTTTTGTTTTTTAAGGACAAACTGTTTCCATTTTCTGGAGGCTCAGATCAG